GGACATGCTGAAATCCAGCAGATCTTAATAGAAAGAGGACTATGGTAAAAGATGGTCGGTCACATTGCATCCAATTGCTCGCATTCATTTAGTTCAGAGATTCTTATCATGAGGTATAAATTCTTCTAACTCAGAGCGTATCCTCTATACGTTAACACAATAATGGTTAGCAAGAATTGTGGGAGAGACACACTGAGTGGCCGCAGCGTAGTAGGCGTTTGCTAAATCGATGATTGTTACGCCTTCACTGACTGAGTACTCGGTACAGCTGCGGCCAAGTATGATAGAACTGCATTGACATAGGGGTCCGCGAACACCGAGTTGGTAGGCGCGATTGTAATTTTCTAGTCTGTGCATCTCGGATAGCTTTTTATAACACATCCGGCAAACAGAGAAAAGGAGTAGGATATGTTCTTTAATTTTTGGGGACTTTTTTTGGGCCGAAGTGTGTTGGAGACATTCAGGCCGTCTTTGAAACTACAAACTTGATCAGTATTTTTAATAAATTTCTGATAAATATCAAGTAACTGTTCTACTGAGAGAAGCAAAAAATTTCTAGTGAGCCAATGAAATTAAGAAACAGGTTTCAAAATAAAGAAAGGCAATATTACTTTATTCTATAAACAGACTGGAATAGATCAATTTTTTTACATACTTTGCTGAATAAGTCATTATAAAAAGGATTTCATAAGATATGAACGTGTTTCCTTTTAACATATTATTCCCTTATCTTCAAATTGTTCACTTATATTTCTTCATTTATTTATATGAATCATGAAGTTGTCACTTCTTAGTAAGTGGTAGAGACTTTTCGTATTGTTTCAATTTCTCAACATCGTTAGCAGGTAAATATGATGACAATAGTTATCTTACGCAATCTTTTTCTTTTTTTTTTGCGCTTAAAACTTGAGAGCGAAAGCCATAGTTCAATGATTTTTACCTACTTCCTACAGAAACAGCATTTTATGACATGTCTTCCCAAAGGCGTTTGGGAAAACAACAAAGAGCAGAAAGCAATTATACTTTGCTGAAATGTTTACCGGTTTATGTTTTTGTTTTTAAACCTTATTGACGCCAGCGAACTGCATTCATACAACAGGCAACGAAAATTTTGTTTTTCCCAAAAAAAAACAAATATGTGAAAGCTTTGCATATGTTTTAAGATGAATCTTATGAATCCCACGGTATAGAGTGTAATATGTTTGCAATGAATGATGAATGAATTATTTTCTTATTTGATTCATTAGAAAGTTCACATTCATATGCTTATTTAATGAATATCCAATTCTAAACGAACTTGGCATCGGTTCTTGGTGTTCTTGTTCTTATTACTGAAATATTTAGAACGTCAAGAGAAAAAATTGAAGCTTGGCACTCGTGTGCCTTATACAATTTCAAAAGACCCTTTTGAAGACAGTGGGTTCAAATGTGTTTTACAGATTAATTCACGCCAGATTTATTTATTTAAAAAAAAAAGGCTAAAGGTAGACTCGATTAGACTACATCAGTGTTTTCCTTATAATGCGAATCCAGATAATATCGGCTCGTCCATTTTGTGGTTCCGAAAGTAAACGTAAATAAAACACACTTTTGACTAGGATTTGGATCAATTCGGTATATTGCTTGCATCTTGACATTGTTTGTGGAATGTGGTACATACATCGTTATACGGCGTACAGAAATTATTAAAATTTATTAGGAAAACAATGAACGCTAGGCTACGTTTCAAGCATCTGGGATGATTGACCCCGTTTGGTGTAAAGAAAATGCATCTGATGTTCCTGAAAGACTATTACATGAAGAAAAAGGACATTTCCGCGAGTTTTGTGGTCTGAACATATCATTTTAGAACATTCAGTTGCCCTCAATGAAGAACGCTAGAGACATGATTTCCATGATTTCGACTTAGGGACGATAGGTGGTTCAAACAAAATGTTGCAGTTGTTGTACATTTCGTGACCAAATCAATTTATGGAAGGAAAAATTCAGCGGCGCTGTAATCTTCAAAAATGTCTATGTGAGCTCGCTGCAAATATTGCGCGACATAACTCTATTGGACTTTTTTCTTTGGGGTTATGTTGAAGTATTGGGTAACTTCAATATACCACGAACTCTCACTGACGTTGTTCATTAAGGATGTTCACGTTATTTGTTAGATAAGAGCAAATTCATGCGAAAAAGCGGCAAAAATTGATGATCTGAAATTGAATTTTTGCAGAAGCGTGCAAACCGTCATTTTTCAATAAAAATACCATAAATCAATATCTTAAATAAAAGAAAAATTCTGTTGACATCTCTTACCGATCAGTTTTTATTAGAAATAACAAAAAAATTGACCCAATATTTTTACGATAATCCCAACCTACTTACTCGAAAAGAAACTTTGATCAGCGAGAGGAACCTCAGCTATTAAGGAGGCAAGAGGATAATGTAACAGTAAAAACAAAAAACCTTTTTTTTTAAATTTTGGAGTGGAAACAAGGTCAATAGAATAATAAGAGGTGATCCGCCTGAGTGGCCGAAGGCGAGGAATCTCGACTAGCAACTCAATGGTCGTGGGTTCGAATCTCAAGCGCGGTGGAGTTTTTAATAAAAGCCGATAGCCTTAGATGCTAGTACTTTAAGAATTTAGTCTTAGAATTTATTTTTCTGGCGAAATTAATAATAATATAAATAATAACAATAATAATAAGTACACTTGGAAGTTCTAGAAAAAAAAGGTACAATATCGACAAAGTACTGAAAGGTGGCAACTTCGGAATCATTCCCATGAGGCATCCTCAATTAAAGAAGCTCTGTGGTCCACGTCTGTTTTCGTGCACATTTGAATTAAGAATAAAAGAAAGAAGTAAATCAGAGGAATACGTGTGATTTTACTAAGAATAGAAATAAGTTTAGGTCGTTTTCTATCAAACATTAGGAATTTATTGCGAAAGAACGGTATATTGCGTGTTATTCAAAGTAGAGTCCGTCACTAACCATTACTTTTCCCCATCTTTCATCAAGGAAATGAAAATCGTAGAATTGTTTTCGTGGGCCACTATTTTCATTTTCCTTTTTCGCAATAAATGTATTACATTTTTAGTGCTACGTTTTCATTCAGTTCTCCAATATATATCAAATTAAACTGGTCGACAAAGAGGAAGATGTGTGATGATAATTTGGGGCTTCACATAGTTCTCAATTTCTTTACGTAGCCTTCCAAATGTTACGTACAGCTTGGAACTGAAGTAAATTTTCATTATCCATATGGTTAAATGTAAAACATTCGAATGAATATTGCAAGCGCTTTTATATGTTAGAAAAGCAAACTTCAATAAAAAACAACAACAATGCAAAGATATTATTATATATTTGCAATAATGTCTGCATTTTGCCTCTCAATCACGCTACAGATAGAGAACAAAGAGTTGAATTAATATGTTTAGAAAAGTGATTGCCCATCAGGTAGATGTAAGCAGAAATACTGCAGAGTCTAACTATTCTAAATAAAAAAGAACGTTTATAAATAGAAGTTCAGTCATCCGTTTTAATATGCAATTCAGTGGCGTAATTTTCATTGTAATTCATTGAATCGTATCAATTGAAAAAACGCATTGTCTCTTCCCATCAATAAAATGCACAATTACATTTTCGATCTTATTATCTGATTTGTTTGGTTTTCATTCAAAAATTACGTTCTTCATTCAAACACTTGTAATATGTATATATATATATATATATATATATATAAATTTTTTACTCTACGTATCATTAAAGATGTAAAGAACTCGGGTTTGTTGATCTGCTCAATATACGTAATATGAATAAATAAATCACTTACGGCTCGCCCATGTTTTTTTTTTTTCTTGTTTTCTTGTAAATGTAAAACAAAAATGTATCACTCGATTTGATTTTTATAAAATTTTACTAAATATTCGCCCAGTTAAGAAGTACGCTTGTTGCACGCCGCAAGATAACTAAAAAAGTTGATAGAAAAAAAAGCTTGACAGCTTGCATGACTCATTATTACCTCATATTTTATGGTGTAATTGGGAGGAAATTTTACTCAGTTTTTTGTACTTTTCACTATCCGCTCTTGGTCGGACGAAAGCTAAGAGAAAAGTTTATTTTTATAGCGTGGGATTTGGCAAAATGAAAAATTTTATAGAAAGTTTTATTTTTCTATAAAACGCCTCAGTAATAAGGAACTTGAATATCTTTTACGCAGCAGTAGTTCTCAACAGTTTTCAGCACAGTTCCCGTCAAGATTTCACTCGTTTTATAAAAGTTTCGAAAGAAAGTAAAAACTAGCGAAATTAGGACAGTTTTTTACCGTATAATCTTAGAAACCTCCTATTCTTTGCTTGATTGCAATGATTGATGTTTTTATCAACAAATAAAACCGATATCTACTGCGAATACGCTTTGTCACTTCGATTAAAATGAGAAAAGAAAAGCACATAACCTTAAGTTCTACATTGTGATTGTTTTTGATTTGTCAAGTGTGTTGCCGTATATGTATCAAATCAGGGACATATTGAATGATGTGTTGTATTCAATATCCAAGTTTGCTCAAGAAATCATTTTAAGGGTGTTTTTGTTATTCCGGCGCAAGAAGGTTTAACTATATTTCCATGAAAGACGTCATCTCTTTATCTGCTTATCTATTAATGAAGTAAACTAATAATTTTATTACTAATTTTCCTAGTTTCCCCTTTCTTGCGTTTCTCATTTACCAACTGGCAGTTCTCGGCACCGCATCTGTTGTACATTGAATCAAATCAGTGACTTCAATTGAATAGGTTCGGGCGTCAAACGTTTGTGTTCAATGCAAACAGAATAAATTTATTTATCTAAGTAAACTTATGCGTTTTCTAATCTGTTTACATAACTTTTTTACTCTATTTTATATAAATGATATGCACTATAATGGGCAAAACGAAGTTGAATAAGAGCATGGTATCCAATAGGTTCTTATGTTACTCGTCGAATATGGTATTATAATTTTTGCAACGCGAATATTATTTGACCGAATTTCTAACACGTCTTGCCAAAAACCATTCGCACTCCCTTTATGAACAAATAACACGTCCTCCAAAGCACTGTACAATTTACTGTCTTTCTACTGTGAGAATTGTGCAGATTTTGACTTAACTTGGTCCTCAAATTTTTCCTTAGCAAAGTGCCCGCGTCATGTCCCATGCTATAAATTATCCCCTCAAAGCGAACTTAATTAAAACATACCAACCGATTCAATGTAAAAGGCAGAAAAAAAGATGGCGCATCGCTGTAGTCTTGCAATTTTTTTCAAATTCTTTGTCCACGTATCTGTTAATAGTTGTTATCAACAGTTCTCTAAGCCCAAATCAACAGCTCTGGAAGACTCCGCCATCTGCTATCATATATTTTTTATCCTTTGAATTACTACACCATGACAACGCCATCTTTCCACTAGACAATGTGCGAATACAAAGCCAAGTGATTTCTTGCCTTCGTTTTTAAAGTACAATTCGCATTCTAGAATCATCAGTTCAAACCTTATTTAGGGAAAGCTATCAAGCAATAACACCTGCTGCAATTGAGCCAATACTTAGGGAAGCAGTGAGAACAATAAGCTATCACACGCTCAGACATTGACTGATTGTCTGAACAGCGCTTAGGAGCAACCAAAAATGTGACAATCGACAGGTATTAAGCTCTTGCGACATCACATTCTCTCGATTATTTTAATAAATTTTCACCTTCCTCAACCCGCCATCGAGACAACATCAATATGAAAATATATTTCAAGTATTTGTATATGGATTGTACTAGACTTTTAATACTATATATTTTCTTTGTAGATTGTATTCCATAATAGCACCGAATACTTTAAGGCCCAATTCACAGTATCACGTGGCAGTTAGTATACACAAAGCTACAGAGCCGGTAAAAGTCAAAGTGGGTATTTTAGGCAGCACTTACAGTGAATCGAAAACAATCGAAGTGCGGCCCCTTTCAACAGAATTAATAGAATTCGAGGTAAGCTGCAATATAAGTCAATTTTAGCCAAAGATAATCATACGATTTTTAAAAATATAAAATTTTAGATACCTGCCCTTAAAAATGATCGTTATAAACTTGTAGCCGAAGGTCTAACGGGTATAAATTTCGCAAATGAAACCGAATTGAATTTTGATCATAAGCAGCATACAGTTTTGGTGCAAACGGATAAAGCCATATATAAACCGACTGATTTGGTGCAGTTTCGAATCTTAATAATGGATGCAAATCTTAAGCCAGCACGCAATTATCCTAGTACTCATATAACCATAAGAGATGGTGGCGATAATATCATACGCTCTGATAGAGATGTACACATAATAAGCGGTGTTTATGCGAACGATTTGTTGCTAGCAGATTATCCGAAATTTGGTGAATGGTCCATAGAGGTGCAAGTAGGCGATGAGATCTATAAAAGATCATTCGAAGTAGTCGAATATATTTTGCCAAAATTTGTAGTCGATATCACTACCGAGAAGCATGTTATCTATAAAGATAATAAAATCAGTGCCAGCATAAAAGCTTAGTAAGTAAAGCAATTAATTGAAACGCGGCTATTAAACGCGATTAAATCTTAAAACTTCTTCTAGCTATATGTTCGGTAAACCTATTGTGGGCGAGGCTACGCTTTCTATATATCCCACTTTCTTTGGATCTTTACAACCATTCGTGAACGATTTAATAACACGTAAAGTGATGCCTATCGATGGAAGCGCTTATTTCGAATTCGATATCAGAAACGAATTAAAACTTAAAGAAGACTACGAACGTGAATACTTATTAGATGCTTTAGTTGAGGAAACATCCACAGGATCCGTGCAAAACTTTTCCACTGTAATAACAGTGCATTTAGATGCTTACAAAGTCGAAGCCGTAAAAATGCCTCGTTACTATATACCGGGAATTCCATTTGATGTGACGGTAAAACAATGTATAGGATAATTGAATTAATTTCCATCGTTTTTGTTTTTTCCTTTTCGCTTGAAAAATGTTTACGTATAAAGTACTTTTGTACTTTTTGTATACTTTTGGGCAATGATTGTATTTGTCTAACCCTTGGAGCGACTGCACTGATGGCTGGAGTGGGTAGAAGTCGAGTACTAAGTCGATATTCGCGGTTTCAAATCGTAGTACGGTTTGCCGTACTGGCAGCTACAGTCAATGACCAGTCAATAAAGGCTTAACACTTACGGATTTGGGCACATACCCACTAGCTTACGGACACTCAATACATCTTTTTTTTTCACCAATTGTTTCCGATTATCGCCATTATAGTTATGTAAAGGGGACGTCATCTAATACTAAAAACTGATACCTGAACGAAAAAAGGCAAATATATAGGCGCTTGTCTTCCTAACTATTTAAGCGTTTACTTGACTTCTTTTTCATCTTCGGAACGACTTTTTCTTCCCAAAAAACCAAAACAATGCGAAAATGTCTTTCAGTACATGTCTACTCTATGTACCGTGGGCTTTCAGTAATCGCGAAAGATACCAGAATGGAATATAAAATTAAATAAACTGTAAATGGATGGAAATAATTCTCTGGAATTTCTTTTTCTTTGAAATGAGTGTCGAATGATTTGGTTCTTATTTCTATTAAAGGTGCGAGTTACGTCTAACGTTGGTGGTGGAACAAAAGATTTAAAATCTGAACTTACGGCATACTTGACTAACGTTTATGGTAGCAGCGAGATATATAATAAAACTGTCTACAATTTAGACGAACAGTCGCAGGTTAAAATGAAATTCACCGTACCAGCGGGTAATCGAGATGAATATCATTCAGTTATTGTAAGATTTTTGAAATTTTTTTTAATGTATACTTTCAAAAAAAAATGTCTTCGTTCAATTAACCATACAGGTCGACTATATGGGTATTATTACGGATATCGGCAAAGTGCCAAGTAAATACATTGGAGGAAAAAATTTCATCATTTCAAAAATTATAACAGAGAGGTAAGAAACTTTTTAAAATTTTTTTTAAATATTCAATGCTCTCTTTAAACTCATTTTTAGACCCGTAATAAATCAAGAGATCGCGGTTATGGTCCGTTGTAATGAACCTATAAAATATTTTATATATCAACTGGTTGGTCGGGGCGATATTTTATTATCACGTTCCGTAGAGGTAAACGAAAAGACAAATATAACCCTTTAACATAATTTATTGAATTTGCTATTTTAGGTTTCCGATAGTACACAGTACACTTTCAAATTCTTAGCTACTTTTGCTATGATGCCGCGAGCCAAGCTATTAATCTATACAGTGATCAATGGTGAATTGGTTTATGATGAACTGGATGTAGAGCTTGAAGAGAGTCTTTTAAATAATGTAAGCTATTTCTTTGATCGCAGAGCCTCTTAACACTGAAAACCTATCACTAGCTTAAGCCAGCGATTAAAGTGTAAGTTCCTCAAGGAACATAAGTATGTCTGGTTCTTCTTTCAGTTTTCAATTGAGTGCAAAACGATTTCTTATCATTAAAAGATAATTTAGCATCGAAATCGCTAATGCGATGCTCTATGGTATTATTACTCCAAACCTTGTCAAGGTCTTGCGTTTTGATCACTATCGAATACATAAAATACAGAAAGGCACACAAAGGTTGCATTAGGTACGAATATGCTTGATTAATAAGATTCCCATTTGATCCGAACGCCAGTTTGCCTTTCTATCCATCTACGTGTCCGTTTCCTCACTATTCTTAGAATTTCAAGGTGTAGCGCACAATTGTGCCCGATCGGCCTAATTAAGTTTTCCAATTTTTTTTTTTATTTATTAACTTTCGTACCATTAAGTTTAAGCCAGAGATTGCCTGCTACTGCATTTATCTTAACGCCTGCACAATTTTCTCATTGATTTACGCCCAATTTTCATAGGTACGAATTGAGGTTCCTTCAACAGCTTCGCCTGGTCAGGATATTGATATTTCTATCGCAGCGAAACCTTATAATTATATAGGGTTAATGATCGTGGATCAAAATGCTATCAACTTGAGAGAAGGTAAATATGCCCGGATATAACTTAGCCTTACCTACTACAATATTTGCCGACAAGAAAGGATGAAACATGTGGATGGAATGGGACCCTTTAAGCACTCTCACAAAAATGGCAACCATTTCTAATTTTTGGTATTTTATGATAAACCTGATCTCGTATAGTTATTTAGATCAAAAATTGACCACGTCAACTTTCAACCACGTTGATCTGTTTCTGGGATATCCTCTCACAAAAGTGAGAGAATATATTTTCACGAATTTAATTTATTTGCTTCAAAATAACGTTCAATCATGTGTTCACATGAAAAATAGATCGTCCTTCCGTGAAAAAATTAACTCACTCACTTCCTCCGAACATCTCTTATATAAAGGCCCTCAGGAGAAATAGTACTTTATATAACAAACATTTATAACTTTCGAGAATTGTTGACGAAAATTGTTGTCGAAAGAGGGATATTTTCCGGGTTCGTTCGCATGTAATGTTCGAGAAATGACAACCATGTTCAATTTTCAATTGAGGCAATGTAGTGTACGGTATTCTATGACCGATCTTACCCGATTATGATGTTTTAATATGTTAACCTTGCGTTTGTATTTGTTTTAAAGGTAGTGATCTCTCCGTAAAGAGTTTAATGAGAGCTTTAAATGATTACGAGCTTAGCGATATAAATACACCGATTAGTACACCGGGTAAATTGTCGGGTGTAATTACTCTGACCAATGCGGATTTCTGGCCAGTACGAGGTATGCATTTTTTATTACAAAAAAGAAAATATTGTTTTCTAAAACTTAGAAACAAAAAAAATTTTAGAAAGTTTTACAACTATGGAAAATCCTATATACCATGAGGATCATAAGCTAACGACTATAAGAAAGACTGATATTGGGCCCGCTCACACCATAGAAATTAATACTTTAGCTCCCGGAAAAGGAAGATTTGCTTTTTCATATACACCCAAACCTTTCTGGCATAATCCGCGTGTGCATGTTATGCACCCACCACAAAATACTTGGCTATTTTTAAATGTAACGGCGGGCAACGAGGAACGCACTATTATACGTGATCGTTTACCGAACGGTATGACCAATTGGATTTTAACAGCTTTTGCCATAGATCCAGTGCAGGGCATAGGTCTTGTGCAACCATCAAAAGTATTAGCGGCTTCCAAGGAATTTTACATAACGAACGAATTCCCTTACTCTGTTAAACTAGGTAATGTTAGAAAAAGAAACAAAAGATTACGAAACGCTTCTGTCTAACGGCTTGAATCCTTTTTTATAGGAGAAACGGTAGCTTTGCCATTTGTGGTAATTAATAACAGGGACGATGACTTGGAAGCAGAGATTACTTTTTACAATACAGCTCAGGAATTTGAGTTTCCTCAAATTACTGAAAAGCCGACACCAAAATCAAGTAAGTTCAGAAGTTTTTCGAAACTTATGCGTGCATTTTTTCATATCTATTCGCACATTTCGCAGAAGTAGAGCTTTACAGTCGCCGTACTTTAATGGTAGGAGCTAAGTCATCAAAATCTGTAGCGTTTATTGTTACACCGAAGCGGGTTGGCTCTCTTACAGTGAAAGCGGTGGTTGCCAGTAAACTGCTCACTGATAGCGTAGAGGGTAATCTCTTAGTGGAATACCCAGGATCGACAGAAATAGTTAATCGTGATATTCTTTTCGGGCTGGAATCTAGCGATAAACGTAATATTAGTGTCTCCGTTCGCATACCACGTAACTCAATAAAGGAATCAGCTAAGATTGAAATATCTCTCTATATGGATTTAATGGGCGGTATACTGGATAATATGGAGAACCTAATATATCAACCTGTTGGTAATGGTGAACAAGCTATGATCAAATTCATGCCACATCTTATGGTGCTAAAATACTTACAGGTAACACATACGAAAAGCATATGCCAAGCGTACGAATTCATTTATGTTTCTATTGATTATAATATCTCGCTTAGCGTTCCAGAAAACTTACCCCATCATTGGAAATGAGAGCTAAAAATAATCTAAAATTAGGTTATCAACGTTTACTTTATTATCGTCATAAAAATGGTGCCTTTAGTGCATTTGGGCTAACGGAAGAAAAAAGCTCAACTTGGCTAACAGCTTATGCAGCGAAAGCCTTTAGCATGGCTTCGGAATTTATTCAAATTGATGAAAGAATTTTACAAACAGCCTTAAATTATCTTGCCAGCGTACAAAATTCGAATGGCGGCTTCGACGAACGAGGCGACGAATTCGAACAATTCAGAGATAATGGCATAAGCTTAAGTGCTTTTGTCACTTTAGCCTTTATGGAAAACTTGGTATGGTTCTTAGTGGCTCAAAAATTTGACTCTGAGCACATATTATATTTCGAATTATCGTTTCAGGGTCGCTACTCCTCTTACAAAAATCATATCAACAAAGCTCTCGATTTTGTAACACGTAGTTTAGATGCAACGGATAATTTACATTCGTTGGCAATAGGTACCTACGTTCTAACAAAGGCAGATCACAATGCTAGAGCAGCCTTCTTGCAGCGTCTAGATGCAATGGCGGTAAATGAAGGTAAGAATAAAATTTTATCTCTTCACTAATACAATATTAAAATTTTATTTCTTTTAGATGGCAAAAAATGGTGGAATAAAACTGCTCCGACTTCTGACGCGAATTCGCCCTGGTACAATCGGACACGCAACGTTAACGTTGAAATTTCGTCGTATGCCATTCTGGCATTGCTAGAAAACAATCTACTTGACGAAACATTGCCTGCCATAAAGTGGCTAGTGTCTCAACGTAACGATTTAGGTGGCTTTATAGGATCTCAAGACACCGTTGTGGCCTTACAAGCCTTAATTAATTTTGCCGAAAGATTTTCTAGGCAACCCGCTTATTTACAATTATTCTTCGACTATGGAGAAAAACTTTCGGAAAAAACAGTTATCGCTGATACTGACAGTGCGCTACAAAATCATGAAGTAAATTTAAAGAAATTATTTACTTAATCACAAAACAAAAAAAAGAAAAATTAATTATATCTCTTTCTAGATTCCCAATAACATAAAGAATATAACAATATCTACAGCCGGTACGGGCACGGCCTTGGCTCAGGTAACCTATAGATATAATACGTATGTAACCAGGGCTTGGCCACGTTTTGTTTTGGATCCCACCGTCAATAGAAATTCTCATTCCGATTATCTACATTTGTCAGCGTGTACTAGGTATGACAATTTCAAAAGCATAACTCTTCTAAATAATAAAACTGCAATCCTTATCGCAGTTTTATACCGGCAGAAGGAGGTGCTAATCGTTCGAATATGGCCATTATGGAAATCAGTTTGCCGAGTGGTTTTGTAGTAGACACTGACACCTTACCCACCCTAGAATCAAGTGATAGAATAAAGGTAATTAACAAAAAAAGTGACAACGCAAATGGGAAATAGATAAAGAGAAAGGTAAGCCGAGAGAAAAAGAGAAAAAGATGGAGAGGAAGAGAGAGATAGAAGAGATTTAGGGATAGGGATAGGAAAGAAATGCAATCAAAGACAGAGAGCAAACGCTTTGGGAGGTAAAGGAATAGAGAGAACAAGTTATGAGAAATTAATGTTTTGAGTGAATAGTAGAATTGGAGCATCGAGAAAACCAAAATGAGAAAATGAAAGAAAGGAGAACTATTTGCTTTGCACTTTTGAACTACGGTTGGTGAACTCTTCAATTCATATTACTTGAAAATTCATTCGTCATTGGGCGGTTCACGGAGATCTCTTAACTTCCCAGTGAAATCGATAATTCGCAATACTTTTATCTGAAATCAAAAAAGGAAATATTTTCAGTTAGTAATACACCGGGCAGGTAAGTAAGTAAATTTCACTAAAATTCAAAAGTCAGCTTGCACTGTCTTCCAAAGTAACGCTAACGATCAAAGCAAAAAAAAAGCCTTCCTTTCAAACACTAACCAATCCTACCTATAACAAATGCTCAATTGGATTGTAAAAATCATATTCAAAAATTAAAAAAAAGACTCATATAACTCTTTTGCGAAGGGTAGTAGCAGTCACTTGGTGCATAACAGCTGTCTGTTTCCTCAACATATAACAGTCATTTATTGGTTTACAGTGGGTCGGTACGGTAAAGTGTGATAAAGTAAGGTGCCAGCGCTACGATGGAGAGTTAAAGTTTCAAGCGATAGTAGTAAATAGACGAATAGTACGACTTTCGAAAGCTCTATCTCCTACAGTTTTCCTCCGATTAACTTGAAACTTTGTGAAAATGCCACCAACATGTTACCCTGTTATGTAAAAACATTTAAAAAATAGATTCTTTGAAATGTTAAAATCCCCATACGACTTCTTAATTCCTCGCACTCCCGCTTTTTTTATATGCAACTAAGTTCTTAGTGGAAAATTGCAAACGATATAATTTCGCGTGAGTAGCCAAGTAGACAAAGGACCGCGACTGACATCTCAATCGTTGCGGATTCAAATCTCAAGTGCAGAAGGGTTTTCAATACAGTAAATTTATTTACAAAATATATAGAGACAAACAGTAAATACATTGTCGGCTCTGTGTCCACATAGATGTTGGTTTGAGAAATACAATGTCGACACGTAGCCGACATAAACACTACAAAAGGTGGAGAGTAAGATTAAAGATAGACCTTTTCGAGGTGCAAGTAGTTGACTATTTTTCTCTCCACACTCAATAGGCAGACTCAAGGGCACCGATACCTTGCCGCCTTGAATAGGACTGTTCAAATTCATTTTTATGACAACGCTGCTTAAAAGCAAGCAACAACACTATAGTGCGTCCCATACGGTTAATGGTAATAAATTTCACCAAAATATGGCAAAAATTGTGGGATGTAAGTTGAACACAAGAATGCAAGATGGACGGACCAGCACCAAAGCGATTCTGGATCGATCTATCGGTATAATAAAAGATAAGTCTGCCTCAATTTCTTCTGGGCGTTGCATACATTCATCCAAACTTAATTTGCGCTTATAGCGCAGGCAGTGTAGGATACAAAAAAAATAAGAAACAACTGTCCACAATCGTCAGATAGATTCTGTGGTTGTGACTTTATAATGCTAGTTTGAAAGGACAATAAAATTGACAGCATTTAGTTGTATAAAATAAAAATTACATAGTATGTGCGCAGTCACATACGAACATCAGCGCTGAAAGCCTTTCGAAATCAACAAAAGATGCTTAACAAATATGTGCGCCTTGAAAGGGCCTTAAAAAAAGAGGCAAAAACAGAAAACTAGAAAGAACTTATCGTCTTTTTTTCCTTTTGTTAATGTAATTTCATTACCTATTAATTCTTCAGAAAGTTGAAACTCAAAAACGCAACACCGTAGTGATTATACACTTTGATTTTTTGGATCGTAAGGAAGTTTGCCCTACGCTTCACGCCTATAAAACGATAAAGGTAACGAATCATAAACCGGTAGCAGTTATAATGTACGATTACTACGACAATGGTAAGAATCGTTGTGTTATAGTATTAGTAAAAAATAATTAACTTATATATGTATTTATATATATTCCGCAGTAAGGCGAGCTCGCCAATTTTACCGAGCGCCAAAATCACAAATCTGCGATATCTGCGAGTACGCCAACTGTGGAACAATGTGTCAAAAGGCTGAAAAACGTGAATCCAATGGAATAGATGGTGATATTAATGATCTCTTAAATGAAACTAGTAACGCTTTAGGTTTTATAAAAATTCGAAATTCATATTTAACAGCAATTAATGTGTTGTTAACGTTACTAATAATTAAAGTTTACACTTAATTAAAAAACAAAGCCTTAAACAAAATATATATTTTAAAGGAAAAGAGATGAAAGAGTGTATAGTATTAATGTAAATGTAAAAAAAAAAAAAAAAAAAAATTACGTATAAAATACTAAACTATAATAAAAAACTTTAAAAATAGTAAAACCCTAAAAAGATAATGTTATTGAAGAATTCTCAAAATATGAAATATTAATTTATATATAAAATTTTAAATAAATTTTAAAACTTGTAGAATAAAAAAATTGTTAAACATTCTTCAAACTATTTCTGTATATAAAATTCCTATTCGCACATATTCGTTTCTGTATTACATAGAACTTGTACAACTAATTTCATCACTAATATCTATTGAAAACTTTAAAAAAAAATATGAAAATATAAAAATTTTTTTTACATTTACGTCTTGCGTTTCGGTCTTTTACTCTCCATTAAACTCATTATAGTTTTGCGTAGCTCTTCCGTTTCGCTTAGCTCCATTTCATAGTTACGAATTTCTTCATTCTTGGCTTGTAATTGAGATTCAAGCACAGTAACAACATCGTCCGACTTCTTTCTGGCTTCTCTTTGCTCCTCCAAAGCTTTTTGAGTTTTGGCCAATTCACGTTCTTTCTCATCGATATGACGCGCTTTCTCTTTGATATCTGTTTCATAAGCGGCAACCGTTTTTTTCAGCTTATCGATACGTATTACCTAAGGAAATAACAAGATAATATTAATAAGTTCATTATAATTAATGAATAAATTTATTAGTAATTCATATAGAAGACTTTCGCAACGCTGTCATGATAGCACAAAAACCAATGATTTCCAAAAATGTTGCAGTAGATGCCTTTCGCTGTTACGATCGGTATCGATTAAAAAGATTAGCGATAATATTTCAATATCCGTAATTAGGATATGTTATGGCCGAGTACTTTCCACTTTTCTTTTTTTTTTTTTGTTTTTATTACTACTTGGATTAGATTGGCTAGCAATTTGCTCGCACAGGCTATCACACAAGCTGCCTTTGGTCCAAAACAATCCTCATTCCTGTTCTTCATTGCGTGTGGCTGCTTATATCAAAAGCCAAGTAATTTGGTTTATCTATTCTATTTCTATTTCAAGAAGGATTGTGTGCCTCTTGTGATTAAAGAAAAAATTTATTAGGTTTTGCCAACGATTTCGGCAAAGGACAGTGACCATGATTTCTTCTTCTTTTTTTTTTTTTTTTTTTGGATGTTGAGTTAAGGTGGCCTAAGCCAATAAGATTTCTGGCTTATAATTCCACTTAGTAAACAGTAGTAATCATTAGCAGGAAATGTATATAAAACACAAACAAAACCGCGGCCATGATAGTTAAAGCCGATATGTTAATTGCAATTGTAGATTGTTGAGTTGTTTAAAATGATGTAAAAATATTTTTGTTTGCTTGGATATGGATTAGGCCTGTTTAATTTAACTTAGACCCATAATCCAGTAACGTAATAAAAAAAATCATTGATGGTATTTTTATATATATTTATTTTAAGATAAGCGCTTTCTTCCTTTTTTTCCCATATTTTTTTTTTTTAAGTAATGCTTATATTTGTGAAACAGGCGATGTTCTGCTCACCAATTGTTCCCATAAGCCTCCGTAATAGGCACTTTATAGTCAAAATTCCGGCTAAGAATGCCGGAAAAGAAAAAGTATAAGCGATCTGGGTTTATAAGCAAAATTATGAATATAGATTATTAGAAAGAAAAATCAGCTGATTTGATAAAGGCACTCAGTTCCTTAAGGTGCATAAAGTTTCTACCACGAAAAATTTCATATAGATTGTTCTATAAGCTAAACATACTGAAAGATTGTCTGAGGGTGTCAAACCTCTTGCACTCAAAAATTAGATGTTCAGCAGAGTCAATAATATTACATTCTCCCGAATTATCAGTGGAAGAGACTTTAATCATTTTAAAGTATACCTTGTCATAAGTGTGATTACACATAAATCTATGAAGTATTTTAAATTTCCGTGTATGAAATCTTGCTTGATACATGACATGATACTCGTCCTTCCATTCTTTAACAATAAATTTTTGGATTAGCAGGAGAGCCTCACTGAGAGGATAGTTAATGGACGGCACCGTGCCACCAAACCATGCTTCACGTGCATAAAAATCTGTTTTTCATTAATACCAAAACCACTGTGACCTGGGATTCAGATTAGGTGGCATTCTTCAATCCTTGGGTCTTCTAAGAGGTCATAAATATCAAAAAGATACACGTTGTATGGGTCTTTATTCTCGATTAATATCAGAGCAGATTTGCTGTCGGAAAAAAATGCAAATTGTTTAATTTGTTCTCAATTGCAAAGAGGATTGCCTGTCTGATGGCCAGAAGTTCAATGAAAGTGGATGATAATTCTTGCAGAACTTTGGATTTTCCTAAAAGTAAATTTGGATACTCTATAACTGAGAAACCAGATATGTCCAAGTGTACTTTATTAAATGTTCATTTATCCAAATTTTATCTTTAATCATTAATTTGAAAAATCATATTAAAAATTACCACTCAATAAATGTTCATCGTGAATATTCGCATAGCGTATACCAGTAGTCGGTTTTCGAAATTCTAAGTGTATTAATGAGATTGATTGCTTGTTATTCTCCGTTCCCGAAATACGACGTCGATATACGAAATATGCGAAAAATAGGCAAATAAATATTAAAATAATAAGCGAAGGTAGCGCATAAGTTAATACGGAGGCTTTGTATACTGAGCTCTGGTTGAAAAATGGTACCACTTGAATATTACTGTTATTACGGCTTACCAAAGTGTTAACAAGAGGTTGCTTGGTGCTAGTGTGAAACGGTTTTGCCGTGTTCGAAATATCCCTTGCAGCGGTTGAGAGAAATGTCGATGGCAAAGTTGCTAATGTAGATAACGTCACTGACTCTCTGCTAGATGTCAGAGTAGGAAGAGAAGTTTCTCTACTTTCTTTTTCTGCAGCTGTTGCTCTTGGGATGTTCAATGTGATTGCTGCCGTTGTTTTTGGTCTTGTTGTGGCCGCCGTTGTTGTTATTGTTGCCATTGTTGTTAGATATAGGCTATCCATTTTCAAAAACCCCATTTCATTGCATATGCATAGCAAATAATTTTTATATGGTTTGGCTTTACAATCATCAAAAGACCAAGCGTTTAAGTTAAAAGCTGAGTCGACCGACGTCGTCATTGCACATTTATTAAAGTTATTATCTGTTGCGCTCGCGATGTGTAATTGAAAATTTTCAATTTTCTGACGACATTCTACAGGCTTTACCGCAGACCAGTTATAATTAAATTCATATACATTGTAGTTTATTAAGGGCAGTTGTAACGATCCCATATTCTCTGGAAATTTCAAGAATATGATAGCTAAGCAGTATAGTTTCTCCTGATTTACTAAATCAGCATTTTTTACTTTAAAATTTAGCAAAATTGATTCCTGAGCATTTTCAAAGACTTGTGTGTTATAAATTAAGGCGTGTCCTTTTAGTTTCTTTACGATTAAATGGACATTCGATCTTTTAACATTTTCATGTCCTTTCAACGGCATTAAGCACATCTGCTGTGTTAGACGCAAGATGCTAGTTGCGTACTCCATTTGGGATTCGACTGTTAAATCTGAAGTCTCTAGCAAATCCTCTAATAGAGATAAGTGAGTTTCGATAAGCAATTTTTGTTGTTGTTGATTATTAACTATTCTTTTAGTTCTTATGCGGCGCTTAAAGCGTTCATTGAGTGACAAATTGTTCCTTTCTACGATTTGTTCAAGGATTTCCAAAAGCTTCTGCAATAAAATCTTATTATTTATTTTTAAATATTTTAAATTTTCTTTGCATTTCGATACAAACTGCAAAACATCGTTATCAGGTATGTATATCCCTTCTTGGGGCCGTTCGAGAAATTTATCAATTTCTTGTGCTAGAAATTGTCGCACAAACGTTTTCCATTTTTCCAAGTGTTTTGATTGGCCGTTTTTAAATGTCATTGAAATCATCAGAATTGTATTGAATCCTTCAGAGAAATCTGTTCTTCCAAAAATTGTTTGTATCTCCGTTAAGTACTCTTGCAATTGTTTATTTGAGAATTCTTCATATTCTAACGATATTTCGGTAGTATTTCTAATTACGCTACAGGCCAAGCGAACATCACAAATTTCCACAAAATATTCTATAGACTGCTTCAGAGTGTAAGGTAATTTAGTGTTCCAGGTTTTGTATTCGAAATATTTCTCAAAATGGATTTCATAATCGTCGGCCTTAATAAAAAACTCATAACTTAAAGGGGAATCCAACAGCAAATCTTTTGCTGACGCTGAAATAAAACTAAATGCGGTTTTCATAGCCTTACCCTTCAACGGTTCCATTTGTAACTTAAGCACTTGTGGTGGAGAATTCGTATGAAGATCGAAGCTGAAATAACTGGTTAAAAATTTCTTCCAAGGTTCTTCCTCTTTTTCACGGCTTGTCACCATTGAGTTTGGATTGTCTTTGTATGGTTTAGGGCACGTGACATCTAAACGAAATTTATAAAGGCTATCGCCCTCGAAGCCATGCCATAGATCGGTTTTCGTGGGTATTGTTAATGTTATATCGCGATTCACTGTCGAATTTGTAAAGTCTGCTATCTCTTCAAGATAATACTTTTCTAAATTAGAAATTTTCGTATAACCATATTGCTTTTTATCTAATACTCCAGGCTTAATGAATTCGAAGCCATCTTCTTGGGCGCTTAACCAAATAGCCTCACACAGTGGTACCAAATTCAGTACCGTTACAGTAAACTGAAAACCTTCATTGGCCGAAGTATACAAATTGGGCGTATGCTGAAAATCATAACTGACAAAAATCGATGAGATAACTTCAATGTCAGCCTTTACTTTACTAACTACATCGTTGATCGAGATGAAAGCCCACACTTCGTAACTGCCTACTTTATTGAAGGCTACTTCAAAATATTGCTCTTTATTATCGGGCATTGAAGACTTCAATTCTTGCTTTGTTGCCTCTCCCACACATTTCCACAATATTGAAATCTCTTTTACTTCATCATAATTTTTGATAAACAAACGTAAAGTAATATTGCTGCCTTCTCCCACTCGAGCGGTAGACGGTATAATCATCACTTGGTAACCTTTGGTTAAGACTTTAATTTCTATCGCATCTTTCGCTAATAATCTTTTAGTTTTATTCTCCATTACTCTGGCTTCGATTTTATTTCTTTTGCCAGCTTTTAAAACATTTTTAGGTATTTGCAGGCAACTGCTTATCGTGTTTTCCAATTCCTTGTATTCTTCTTGCAAATCTTCAATTATCCATTCAAAATAATAATCATATTTTGGTAGGCAAAATGATACCTTGGCAATCAGACGATATTCCATATTCGCGACTATCTCCTCAGTGCCTACGAAAAGAAAGTTTATGCCTTCCGGCACATTAACATTTTGCAAGATTCCATCTCTGTATTCAATATCGAAAACCTGTTCCGGTGTAGTTTCGCCCCCCTCGGTAATTCCCTCTACGTGAAAGACATAACTTACTCCGGCCATTACGTTAGATTTTCTGATTAGAGCCAGATTTTCTTGTGATATTTTTGATCTCTCCTTGCCATTTAAAAGTTCCTCCAACGCCCTTACTGCTTTCCATACCAACAAGGTTTCGCGTTGATTGAATGTATTTGGCTCCAGAATGGTAAAAAATATTTGAAATTGATAGATTAACTTTATGCCGTCCTTTGGTTGAAAAGCTATCGTAACCCCATCAGGTTGTTGCGATTGCGATTCATTACCATTGGATTTACAAAGATTTTGTGGTGCTATAATGCGAAAAGAGGGCAGATCCAATGTTACATCTGAAGAGATTAAACGGAACAGCAGTAAAACTCTTAAAACCGTCTCAGAGGATTTCATTTTACTTTCTTTTCCACGACTTTACAAATTCGGCCAAGTAGTTCAAGTCAGTTGCAGCAAAGAGAATGAATTAGTGTAGATTGCCCATTCGACACTTTAAAATCCTCCTGAGAAATATTGGAGATGTTACTCCTTTCGTTATGACTGCTATTTATTTCTTTAAAGTCTAGTTGCATTCGCTGCTACTCCATGAAGAGGAAATCTATTATATTCCATTATTTTTTGTTTCACTCCCTAAACGTTGCCATAGTTACTTAGAAATAACTATTCACAACTAAAAATGTCGTTTACTTTGCATGGCTGCGATCAAGAGAATTTGTTTAAGAATTATACAATTTTTGCTTGAAAAATGTTCTTTCAAATCTTTACCGGAAGGATTGCATAGCGTCTAAATTGTAGCTAAACTAACTAATTAATTTAGTCATTATGTCAATGAGAGTATTGTTTGTTATTGTTTATCGCCCATGTCCGACAGGCTATGTTTCTTATTCGAAATGGCAGCTATTAACTAAATGTTCTGAGAACACCCGCGAAATCAACAATTCCATATACAGGGGGACGCAGGTTGACGAATTCTCTGGGCTTATGGCTCAAAAATAGTATTCTTTATGAAATCTCATTTAGTCGGAAAACAATTCATCACTTCCTGGCCCTGCACTACCAGCATTTGGAAACACTTCAGCTTGTAACAGTAGAAAATGAAAAGTGCGTAGGAGAGCTAAGTTGTTTGCTGGACGTTATATTTTTAGTAGAGAAAAACAAGTAAGAGCATTATGACGAGTCACTGTCAGTCACATTGCTCCATGTGGTTATTCGACTTTTCAAAAGAGCGTTATGCGGGAATTAGTCGCGAAAGTGGCCCGATCCAAGTCATTTTAAACAGCGTCCTTGGTCGAAAGCGTGTCGGTGTACCAAACTTTATGAACATATCTTAAGAATTGTAAGCTGCACGTTGAACACATGAAAACAAGGCAGGCAGACGGACAGGCTTCTTTTCTCGAACGGTATAATAAATAGGTGTATCTCAAGTCCTTCTAGTCGTTACATACATCAATAAAGTAAAATTTTGTTTAAAAGTGATTCTTTAACAAAAGTCGAGAGAAATCTAATTATTTAAGACTTTGGCACATAACGACACTTACGCGCAAATGTTTGCAAAAAGAGCAAATAAATTTCGGGAAATCGCAGTCTAAAGAGGAACCAATCTTATACTATTTGATATGATTTATTCATAAACCGTTATAGAGATTGTAAAATACACTTACATTTTCCTTGGCTGCTGTTTGCAATTTATCCAATTCTTCGGTTTTGGCTTGCAATTGATCCTTGAGTTCGCTGTAATTCTTTTGTAAAACTAGAAGAAAGCAAAAGGTTTTTAAAAATAACTAAAGGTTTGTAAGAGCAATAAATATTACCAATCATATCTGATATTTTAACGGCTAAACGTTTTTCGGCAATTTGTAAATTTTCCGATTGCTCCGATAATTTTTTCATTAGGTTATTCATGTTACGTTTCAAAGTATCTTGTTGTTGCTTCAGATCTTGGCATTGGGTTTGCAATGATTCTCGCTTAATATGCAATTCAAAATTCATGGTGTGATACCTCTCCAATTCAGCATTTTGCAAATTAAGCCGTTGCTTTAAATGACTAATCTAAAAATAGTTTAATTACAAAAAAAAAAAAAAACAATTTCTCTCTAAATTAAAAATATAAAATCTGTACCTCTTCGCTAGCCTGTTCGAGTCTCTTTTGCATGTTTTCTTCAGAGGTTGACAATTTTTCAATTTTATAGTTGAAAAGTTCGATAATTTGCGACGTAGTCAGATTATTTAGCTGATTATTGCGTTGCGCCTGAGTTATAGTTTCAATCAGAGCTTGCAGCCGTTCTTCAAATTCTTTGCTTACAAAAGCTTTTTGACTCTTTAATACAGCATTCAAATTGCACCATTGTTCATCTGAGGGCAAAGAGGGCGCTTTAGAGGATGCTAATGAACTATTTAACCTGGATAAGTGCTACGTGTTAAAAAAGAATTAATTTTATCCACTCTTTGTTTTAAAGTCATTTTTACCTTGGCCACTTCAACTTGTGGAAAATGTTCGAATTGGGAAATGTGGAAAACCGCTGTGGATACATTTTCGTTGCCGTTGATTAACGCACGAGCCAAAGCATTTTGCACTTGCGGCAATTGCAGCAGAGTACAACATTTTTCGAAATAAGCCTTTTTAGCGATTTCAGCAAAATTGATTAATAGCAATAAGCAAAGTATAGACTTTTCTACTTCAGCCATACTTAAGGAATTGTCAGGCATTTTCAGTTTTACCGACAGTAATGATGATAGAATTTTATCAAAATATGATTCCGTAATTTTAGTCAGGATTAATTTCTCCGTTTTTGGATGATGTAGAAGCGATATTAAAAGTTTTAATACTGCTGCGGTTTGGAGAGGAGAAGCTTCAGGCTTTTCAGATGCTGTTATTAGCTGTATAATCAGTGAAGGATCTCGCGCTATACGTGGAGCTATTAATTCTCTTTTAGCTTTAGAAGAAGTTTTAAAAAGCTTGCTTACGAATTGCCATAAGAATATCTTATTAAAATACAAACCTAATCTTACTAAGGTGTCTAGTAGATTAATGGCGTTCACTCCGCATATGTCCGATTCTAGCCAAGTGCTTAAGAACTCAAAAATGCGTGGTATATTCGAGTCTAAGCTAATAATCGAATTCTCATCACCTCCAGTATCTGGCAATGTAGACAATTCCATAATATATGCAATGAGCTGAAATAGTAAACCCATGCAAATTTGCTGCTGTTTACGTTGATCCTCATTCATGCCATCATCGACGACTGCATTGCGCGCTTCTAATAGCTAAATAGAAAAATTTTTCGATAAATGAAATGAATTTCCTTCCAATTGTACTTATATAAATAATGTAATATTAATAATTAATTAATAATGCTTATTTATTTACTTAATTAATTAATACTTACGTCCAATAGCTTTTCAATGTCTTCACAATAATTTTTATAACTAAGCATAGCTTGTTCCAAGCCACTGTGAGCTCTAGAATCCCTCAAAAATTCAACTACGTGTCTTAAATGCGGCACGTTCCAGCTTTTAACGCATTCGCCGATGGTCTTAAAACTGGATCGTAAAAATAAATGCAATTCATTTTGATCCGGTACACATATATCATCGGAAAGAATAATGCACATTTTACTGGCCAACATGCCATAATTTTTTATGCATTTACTGAAGTTGGATATATTTACTGATCTTAAAAACAAGAACAACACCACAAAATTTTTGTAGCATATATTTATCAAAATTGACAGCGCCAGCTGGGCTTGAACGTCTTCACCTTTCTCCGACGTGTGATAAACAATCTGTACTAACTGCCCCAATAGTACAACGAGATAAGGTTCCTCCCACGTAATCCGAATGCCAAACGTCAACTCTTGTATTAGTATTAATACACGTTGTAGTTTATCACTGGTCTGCGTACCCTTCAATATGAAAGTGAGTAATGGCAGGAATCTGTATTCTTCGACAATAGCTTTATGAGCTTCTAAATTGCGAGAGCAGTGTTGCAGTACAGCGATGCAAGACCACAAGGCATCCGAATCATTAGACAGTGTACTCATCACCGTATGCAAATCGATGAAGAACTTTGATATTTCTAAATTTTTGGGCGCAAAGTACTGCGGTTGTATAGCCGTACTTAATAACGAAGCACTGCGATTTAAGAGCACTAGTGCTTCATCGCTCTTGTTATTCTTATAATAATTGGCCTGAAAACTAAAATCTCGCGCATAGCTGATGGCATCATTGCTGCTGGCAGTGGTGTTCTTGCGAGTTAACATAGTATTTATTGCTTTTTTTTTTTGACTAATTATATTAAACAAAAGTAAGAGAAACCGTGCGATTGCCGCTTAAATAAAAATCGTTTTCAAACAAAGAATAATACGAGTTATTAGCTGTCAACTGAGAGTATGTTCAATGAATATTTGATACTTAGCGACCTCTGGTTGTGATTTTGTAAAAATGCTAAAATGGTAAATAAATATCCCTTTCCAATAGTATTCATTCATACAAAACAATGTGTAAACAGCAAGAAAAGGAGGTGTCTATATTTCAACAGCTCAACAATCTATACAACCAGATCTAACATTTCATTATATGTGTTGCGAAGAATATTTTGTAAATCCTTCACTTATGTGTGAGCATGCTGATCAGCCTGCACCAGATAAAAAAATCCTACAGGTGATACTTCCTGGATATTACTAGAAGGACGCTTTTCGCTTCTTCCCCGTCCATTGCATCTTTTTAAAATACTTTGTTTAATGCTCTGCGCGTGTTCCATGTGATCTATTATGAACCACGGGTTAGATTGTCAAAACAATGGTAAAAGCGTGTAGCTGTTCATTTTTTACAATTTTCATAACCCAAACATGTATATTCAATACAAAAATTCTGATTTCGTATTTGCGTATACATCTGGCTTTTAATTAACATCCAATTCCTAATTGTGAAAAGAAAGTTATATGTTTTTAAAAAATTTAACAGACGACCGTGTTTATAACGATGTAGCTTTTTAAGTATTTTATGTTGCATTAGATCCAAACGCATTCGAAATCATGAACAAACACAGATATCATAAGTATAAGACAAATTTTTGATTTTGTTGACATTGTTCAATTGCGTACAATTCACATGCATGCAGAGAGGAGGAAGAAAGTAGAAAGCAAGTTGCAATTGGGAAAACATTGCTGAACATACCTTTGCCGTTGAATTTGCTTCGAATTGCGGGTTTAATATTACAGCTAATGTATGCTTTAATAGGGAACAGAGGGCAGGGTTCTATCCGTTTGTTCTTGTGCGAACTCTTGCAATGGAATCCACGTTCTTCTTTCTTAACCGCGGATTAGCAGTCGTATTTTGAGCAGATTCACAAGTAGCAATCATTTTTTTTCCTTTTATTTGTAATTTTTGATTTAGCAGAATTAATATTGGGGTGTTGCACTGTGATAATCGCTTATACCAGAGCATTTGATGCCGTATTGCGCAACAGTGAAATTTAATGACACCTGTGAAGATCATATGATTGTGACTAAGAACAAACTTAAATTAAGATGTCAAATGAATTTTTTAATGTATCAACGAGTAGTAATTGGTACTTGCGCCACTCTAGGCGATTTTTTGCAAATGGGTTTTCCGCCCAATTATTTTAGGCATGTGCTAATTGATTAAGCAGGCCAGTGCACAGAACCTGAAATTATGGTTGCTGTTGCTCAAGTATCAAACGAGCGTGGCCAGGAAATTCTTGTTAGAGATCTCCATAGTCAGTCGTTATAAACAAATATGCTCTTGAACGCTGTTTTTCGCAATCATTTCTGGAGAGAATTTTTTCGCGTCCTCCAAACTTAAGAATGATGATAGATTTACCTTTGGTTTTGATCGTCGCATGGTTACAAATTTACTCTACAATTTCCGGGCGTTGCTCTCTATAGTGAATGCTTATACTGAACGGTTGATACCAACGATAAGAGAAGAGAATTCTAGGGAAGCGGAAATGCTGAAACAACTTGACGATTTACTGCCGCAATCACCAAATCGACCCAAAGCAGTTCATAACATTTATTTCATTTTTGAAGGTTTTCCTAATGACAGTTAAACTGTATCGTAAAAACATTAAACCGGAATCCATTGGCATTATAACACCGTTCATAAAACAAATTAAACATTTGCGCAAACTCTTTGTTCAGGCCGACGTAGCAATGCCTAAAATTGGTTCTGTGGAGGGATTCCAAGGAGAGGTATAACTTTCGTAAAATTACAGTAATGTTGGAATTAATACTAGTGTTGTTTTCGCTTGGTTTTTTTTAGGAACGCGATATAATAATAATTTCAACAGTGAGATCAAATAAGGACCATACACCTAACGGTGTGCGCGACATACCACTGTCAAAAAAAGTATTTAGGATGGCAATGCTTTTCAATTCTGCTATTTTTTTTTAATAACTATGTGTTTTCACATATACAATGAAAGCTGATAACGGTTTCTGCAAATTAACAGAAATTTTGCAGACGTGCGTTTCTTTCTCTCTTTCATGCAATCGGTCATTTCAATTCTGACCGCGGATAAAATAAGATCGTCAAGTAAGAAGTAAAAAAGTTTTTTTTTCATATTTAAAATTTTTTCAAAAATTGAATGAAGAGGCTTTATTAAAGTCTTAGGAATGTACTTAATGGAAGACGTGAAAGACGTGACGAATTCCCTTAACAACTGAGAGATATTTGTCATAAAATCATAAAACTAAAAAGCGCATGATTGGATTGAAAAGTGAACTAGCTGGTTTGCTGGGCGAGTATTCGCGCGTCCATTTTAACTGTTACTAATATAAGTTTTCATATGCTGCATCTACTAAAGGAATTGAATAATTAAATGAAAACTATCTTTCATGGTATGATAAGATGTAATAAGTAAGGAATGGTCAATCACGCTTTTCTAGTCTGAAACGCAACGCATTGTGAAAACAACTACAACAAGATTGTTTTTTTTTTTTTGTGCTTGAAGTGCTTGAAATATAATATATAATCTTGTATATATAAATGCATAAAAAATAAGCGTTTATCTCCCCTTGTACGTCTCCTGAATAGTTTTATACAATTTTTATAGGCGTGGCATTCAATTTTCCGATATTATTACCAATTCGCTTATTAAATTTTTAATGAATTGCATCTTTCTGTTATTAAAATTCTTATTGGGTTTTAAAGAGGATGGCGTATGCACATAACATCCAAATGTTTGTTTTCGAAGAGAAATGAAAATTGAAATAATTTGTTTGTATACATTTCCAATCAAACGTACTTGTTTAATACCTTTCATATATTCTTTATCGTGTGAAACTTATTATTCATAGAATTTTCCTTTGAATAATTATCTCAAGTGTTTATATTGACATAATGTTGCTGCCGTAACATGTAGCTCCAGTGGCGCAATTGGTTAGTCGCACGGTACTTATAATCAGTAAATGGTGTAGTAAACCAAGATATGAGCAATGCCGAGGTTGTGAGTTCGAGCCTCACCTGGAGCAGCATTTTTTTTAATTCGTCTTCTTTTTCTTTTTTTTAATTTACTTTATGTACCCTACGCCGCTTGTGGTACAGGGTGTACTAAATTAGTACGGGCGTATCTAACATACAAATAGAGTTAAGATAAACCCACTTTTATAATACCGATCGATTCGGAATCATATTCTAAATTGATTTAAGCTTGTGTGCCTGTTTGTCTATCTGATGTCTATCAACGTATTTTTGTGTTCAATCTGCACGTCCCAATTTTCGAGGTATTTTAATGAAGTTGGGTGCACAGACATACTATAGCCCAAGGACGAACGCTATTGAAAATAGTTTTTTGATCGCTCACAATGTAACACTCTAATTTTTACATTTCTTCCTCTTGCTTATAATTCACAAGTATTTCTCTTGCTCATATAATTTTTACAATTATTCCTCTTGCTCATAATTTTTACAATTCTTCCTATTGCTCATAATTCACAGTTATTCCTCTTGTTCATATAATTTCTCTTGCTCATATAATTTTTACAATTATTCCTCTTGCTCATATTCTGAGAAGTCGTTTTATGGGGAAAAATTGCAATTTTCAAAATTTCTCGGGAAAAGTGGCGAAGTAGTAGTCTTGCGGCATTCTAAATCGGTGTGAAAAGTTTGGACCAGCTGGAGCAGTTTTTTTCAGCGCTTGATGAACTGCCAGCAATAAGATCTTATAAATATTTGGTGACCTTAATATCTTGTCTAGCCATGTGTTCGTTTTTTATAATTTTAGTTACTCAAGTAAGTGGCTTTATATGTACAGAAAATATTTATGCCATACATTACTTGTGCGAATGTATGCAAGAAGCAGAAAGCCCTGAGACAAATCAAATTGTCTAGTATGCCAGTCGATCGTCTCATCCAGTGCCCGTCTGACCGATTGTACGTTTACTCAATTGTACGTCTAACTGACTGTTCGTCTGGTTGTTCGTCCGTCTTGCCATGTGTTTCTCTGATCGGCTGTCCCTCTTGAAAAATTTTGAAGCAATCTTTATTAAAAAGAATGTAAGAATATGTGTTTTGATGCGTCCAAGCACGGGACGGGAGACCATATAAACGGATTGGCAAAGAATACAATCTTATTTTTACCACTTGATGACGACAAAATAGTTATTTGATGACTAAATTTACATTGCTACGCTTGGATCCCCTAGGTCTGCTTTTCTGCTCCCCCTCACATAGGGTGATTTTCATGAAAAAAATACGCCTTTATATGGCAACAAAGTTTAATTTTTGTATTTTATGATGGAGCTACGTTAAGTGAAGTAATGTAGGGTATCTATAGTCGTCCTTGCACGACTGTAATTTCTTAATTTGTTTGATATATGCATTTCCAACTTTGTCTTTGCTAGAGTGGTATGTATATCTTACAACTTTTGGATTGGTATTCGGCTTCCAATTCCGTTATATTAATATGTCTTCTGGAAACTATAATGGTGGCCTGGCTGTATGGTATTAACGAGTTCGTTGATGATATATATTTTATGATTGGCCGAAAACCAGGAAAATTATGGGTCTATTGCTGGAAATACATGACACCTTCAATAATATTGGTAAACATTTGGGCAATTTTTGTTATTCTATTGATTAAATAATGAATATGTAAGAGTAAGAAGGCAATGTTCACTTCAGAGCATCTGCAAGATTATTAATTAGGGACACGTTCAGCGGATGGACTTATAAATATACCAAGTTTTCAGTTTCCTTAGCTTTCTTTTTCAAGTATTTTAGTTACTACTGTTGGGACTTTTGACAGATCGTACTCTTCTGTAAGCCTTCTGCAAACGCAAATGCAAGCTATCATTGTCTACGGCAATTTTTGAGATTATGCAGCGATAGTTAGGCGGATGGAGGGACGAGTTTAAATTAATTCATAAGTTTGAATGAACATTGAGTGACTATGATAAACATGGGCATTTGATAATCTGTGATGCTTTTTATATCCTATGGTGTAAATGTACACCAAGTTCAAGTGTACATTAAGTAGCACTCAGAAGGGATTAAGATAGATACTTCCCTTGTTATACCGATCAATTCAGAATCATTTTTTTAATCATTTTCTGAATCGATGTAAGCTTGTCTATCCGCCAGTACGCCTTGTTTCTTGTCTTTAACTTAAAGGTCGGAAATTTTCGATATATTTCGATAAAATTTGGTACTCCGATATTGTATCAAGGATGAGTGCTATTGAAAATGGTTCGGCTAACGACACTTTTTCGAACAAAAATTGTTGGAATAACTCTTTGTTCTTCATTATTTTCTTTATTATTTAGGTATAAAGTATTTTGCAATTTTTTTATTTTACGTACATTCATTTATTTGCAGTTCATTTTCTTCACTACTATTATATTTAATCGTACGGTACGTTACAATAATGTTATTTATCCTTCCTGGGCGGTGGCGTTAGGCTGGTTAAGTTTTGCGCTCTCTTTAATTTTTATACCGTTGCATATGTTGAAGAAAGTATTCCTTTCATCTGGAAAAGCAAACGACAATTTTTATAATGCTTTAAAAGCTGATTTTTGGCTGCCAGAGGAGGAGGAGGAACGTTCCGCTTATGAAGACTTTAAAAGATACCGTAAAATTAATGCCGAATTAAAGAGCTTAAGAAAATAAATTCGATTTTAATTATTATTGAAATTTAAATAAATTTGCAATAAACTTTTTATAAAGATAGTAAGCGGTTAGCCCTAGATACTAGTGCTTTAAAATTTTAGTCTTCAAATTTATTTCTCTGTCTAAATTAATAATAATAACAACAATAATGATTATATCAACAACTGCATTGCTTGTTACTAATATTATGTGCAACACCCACAAGGGCTTGAGATAGATCCACCATTTATTATATCAATCGACTCTGAATCGATCTAAGCTTCTTTGTCCGTCTGTCCGTCTTTGCAGTTTGCTTTCTTGTGTTTAATCTGCAGGTTTCAATTTTTTAGATATTTGATGAAATTTGGTACACAGACAACGCTCGTCAGACCCTATTGAAAATGATTCGGATCGAACCACTGTTTTGCAAAGCCGTTTTATGGATAGTTCGATGTTGCTTTTGTAATGATGGGTCGTGGTCCTCTATAATATTCATACTTGTTCTTTATTTAGAAAAATTATATTTGATAATCCTTACGATCGGATGCTTGTTAAACGAAATACCAAGAGATGGAGAATATGTCAAATTTGAAACCAATACTGAGACCGGCGTATATAAATTGCGTAGGCTGAGACCATAAGCCACGATTAACGTCGGGTAAAAATGGTCGTCAGCCACTTTCTTATGACGATTAGTAAATCACTTTGTTAAAAGAATGATTTTCATAAATTTATTACGCCTAGCTGAGCTTGATTAATATTTCATAAAATAATTTTTTTTAATTCATTTTTATGCGATAATTGTACTTTCTACAGCTAATCGGTTTTTTAATTTTTGTTTTCTATCATAAATTCAATGAACTTGGCACATTTCCCTCTCTTGAAGAGCCAAACACAAAAACACATTCGCTGCAACTCAATGAATTCCCAAGTCGAAAAATAAAAACGAAAACGAGACTAAAAGCACTTGTAAATTCGAGTAAAACTTATCAATGTAGATCTCTACGTAACGGACTCGTTGATACGCCTATACTTACAAGCGTACTATAAGTTGAAGACATGAACTCTTAAACCATTCAAGTCAGTTATTCATTTTTAGGTTTGTCTTCTTGTTTTCAATGAAGTGGTGAAATGGTGTTGTCGTTACTGTTGAGATGTTGCGGCTTAAATAAAATTTCCAAGTCACTAAATGATGTTCTAATTAGTTGAACAGTGCAGCAAGACTGATCAAATAAAAACATTCGCATTGCAATGTGAATCTGCGACAATGATCTCTGCTTTCGCTTACAATACCAACAAGGAAGCACACAAACACTTACAGAAAGGCATACGTACGCTCTATTGCACTGCATAGTGCATTGCTGCTTTTTATACCCACCACTGAAGAATGAGAAGTATATTCATCTTGTCGAAACGTTTGCAACGCCCAGAAGGAAGTTTCAAAAAGCCCGCAAAGTATATTTATGCTTGATCAACATCAAACTCTAGATCGATTTAACTCTGTCCGTTTCTACGTTTATGTAATGTCTGTTGCAAACATCTCGCTGGCTGCAAAAATCAAGTTGTCAATCTCTGGAAGCGCAACCAACCAACATAAAAACCAAAACAAAAGCAAAATCAAAATTAAAATAAAATTTCTACCGAAAGCGGCAGAAAAACTGAAACGATAACTGAAAGTAAATTTAGAAAAAATTTTAGAACGGCTAATATGTAACCTCCTATCGCTGCCTATAGCAGAGTCAGGATGATCAGTCGCCAAGCAATTTGACTTCTGCGGCAAACGATCGACCTAGACACTACCCACTTCTTGGGAAGTGTCACAATCGAACGTATTCGTTGGAAAGGCTGTACGAAGCAGCACCGTACAAGTACTACGAACGTTGAAAATCTATTCACTTCAGTGGGATGGAAGATGGTATGGATGTCTTTAATTCAGTGACAAACAGCAAAGTACTTTCCAAATATAATAGCGAACTGTTTTAAAAATAAGATCTTGTGGGTTAAGACAGTGGATGGCGACAAGCTGTTTAAACTAAGTAGTAGCGTATCTCAGAGTTCAGTCCTTGGACCGGCGGCCTGCAACCGTACACACAACGGCTTACTGTTCGGCGTATAAGTTCTTGACCATGCTAACATTTTTGACTTCGGCGATGATGTAGCTGTGGTAAGGTTCGTCAAAATATGTAGACGACATTATTAGTTTAACGGAAAACGTGATCTAGCGTTAATAGGCGTGGAACTCGCAGAGCAAAGAACACAAGCAGTTCTCGTAAGTAGCCGAACGAAGAAGATTACGCTCAAGATACGCCGCGGCAAGGCTATCATTCAGGCATCCTCTAAATATTTTGGGGTAATGATCAACAAGGGAATAAAATTCTGAATAGTTCGACCTCGGCAACGGCGAACGTTAGCATGGCTCTAACAAAAATAGTAGCAAATGGAAGATGCCCAGGATAAAACCTTGGACTACTGCCGTTGGAAGTGATAGAATTAGTAATGCTATACGCAAGCCCTTTATGATACCTGACGATGGATTCTCAATCGTTCAGTAGAAGTGTCAAGTCAAGACATAGATTTACAGCGCCCTGGCTCTTCTCATCGGAACGGTTGAGTTTTGTGATCCCCTCAATTTACACGCTTTGACATACCTTGACGGAAGTGTTACTTCAGCTAACAAAGCAAAAAACTATTTTTATAGTGCTTTGAAAATTGATTTTTGGCTGTCATTGCAAACAAGCGGAACGTTCAGCTTATAAAAATTTTAAAAGATACCGTAAAATCAATGGCGAAATAAAAAAGTTAAGTAACTAAATTGACTTAATTGACTTGTCAGCTAAATTTAAATACATCCATAATGAACTTTTTATAATTATTATAATGATAGCCACAACGGTATTGAGTATTATTATTAATAATTAAACTCTAAATAAAATGCAATAACAAATAAAATGCAAAAACAAATAGTTTACGCCATGGCGTAGGCGTACGTTCTATTTACATAACTTCTTCCGTAATCTCATTCAACTGATGCGTTATATCCAAGTTACCCATGGCCTCCTCGTAACGTTGACGATCTTCTGCTACAACAGGATACCAATCTGTAGGACGACAACATCTCTTTAGGCGTGTTTTTATGCTGCCCGTAGTTTGCCATACGCAGAAAACTGCATAGCCCGGCACAAATATCCAAGGCAAGCCGATAAATATGACAGCGAACAATTTTATTACCCAAGTCGAGAGCAAATGCTCATAAAAAGATACCATTAAAAATATTAACTAAAATGGAAAAAAGAAAACGTTTGCAATTTATTTAAAAGATCTGAGAAACAATTTTATTTCATTTACCAAAATCAACAGCATGGCTAACGGTGCGCCAAACCTTAGTATGTTAACTTTCCAGGTAGAAAACTTCTGTTCCACCATAAATTCGATGTCACGCTGTAAACGTTCGCGGCCGTATATCCAGCAAACAATCAAAATTAACAGCAAATTGAGGATGGTTTGTGTAATAGAAGCATCTGATGTTAAGGCGGTAAAGTAAACCACACCATCCTGTTTTTTGTAAACGAAAAATTCAGTCACAATTTGAAAATAGTTTCTTTTATTTTTTTACACCCTACACCACTACTAATTGCCGATCAAGGGTATATTAAATTTATGCGGATTTATGCAACACCCAGAAGGAGTTGAGATAAACCCATCTTCTATGACATCGATCGATTTTTTCATCTATATACGCTTGTCTGCGTATCTGTCTTGTTTTCTTTTACTCAACCTACAGGTCGCAACGTTGTAGACATTTTGATGAAATTTGGTGCACGGACATGTTTTAGTCCGAAGACGAACGCTATTGAGAACGGATGGAAAACGGATGGATAAACTTTTTCAACCACTCCCTGTATTAAAGTCTCATTCCGAAATGTCGATATATGAATAACTGCAATAACTGAAGTGATGTAGGGTATTTAATGGTGGTCTGCATGCCACTGTAGTGGTTTCACTTGTTTCAACTTACATTCGATGTAAAGTACAAAGAAATGAAACATAAAGCTGTTATTAATCCTAAACCCACTTCAAACTTGCGATCTCTTAAGCCCACAAATTCATCGAAAACACTGGTCAATATTGAGTACAGCTGAAGGATCTGAAAAAGCAAATATTCTGTACAATAATATGGCAGGAGGACGAGGTACTACTAGGTTGTGTAAAAGGCATTGATCTTCTGGTACATGTCCACAATGATTTTGGTCTTGCACCATTCTTTCGCCACTATCATAATGTCCTGGCCTCGCTATAGAACTTTCGTTCATCTTATTTGTTTTTCCTAAGCGCATTTTAAGACTGTCTTACCGTTTTGTTAAGCATGTCTATATTGTAACATGTATTAAAAAATGTAATGATAGGCATGTGGAGCGCAGAATGAACTGTGCTGTAGAGTCGTTGCAATTTCACAACCATTTCTCTCAATTTCTTATGGGCTATATAGGACGGATGACAGTTTTGATTTTATTCCCATTGATAATGATTGTAGGGCCAAATCAACTAATTATCAAAAGACGTTCAGGTTTAATTCGCTGCATCTTCTGTGTTCTGAAACTGATGCTACGTCCTGAACAAAAGATTCAGTACTTTTTCGACAACCTAATACATATATACCATTAAAACAAGCGAGGAGAGGAATAACATAAAGTAAAACAGCATTGACCAGAAATTCGCTCCAGACATATTTGCCATTACGCTACCGCTGGACAAAAACAGCAACCAATGATGATCAACTGATGTATAATAATTTCCTTCCGTAATATCTTTAAAAAATTAAATGCATTAATAATTTTAACTTGGTATGTACAGCTATAGCTGCGTACTTACGACCAAAATGGGCTTCGCTAAACACCGACAACGCAGTTAATCCAGTCATTATAAATACTTGCCCAAAGCTAATCATCCAAGTGGATTTGACGATGTCCGCATTGAATTTGTTAAAACTGGCAAGGGTTATAAATAAACCCCAACCGGGGCCAAACGATGTTAACGTGTACATGGGCGAGGCTAGGATACCATTTACAAATTCGCGTGGATGTATTGCGAAAATTTTACTGAACACATGTCCGGCACCGTCAAGAAAGCTGAAACGTATTAAAAACAGTACTAATAATGAGAGCATTATCCACATCGCATAACGCAAGCATACACCAAACTGCAAATTAGAAATTGAAATAAAACTTTGTAAAATATTCTCCCTCCGTCCTTACCTTTTCAATGGACCGACATTTGTAATAGAAAAATGCTATAATGCACCATACGAACAGATCGCATATTATCAGTTGCCAGGACATGAAAAACTCCGTATCGGAGCTTACAAATAATTCTTGATTACTAAAAAATGTTCTAAAAAATGTTATAAAAAGTATGTTACACATCTTCATCAGAAAGAGGTAGCATCAAAACGCACTTGAAATACATAACCGACGGTATATGATGGTTCACAAAGTCTACATAGGAATCGGTAGCATTATCATCTTCAGTAATGTTAGGAAAACGCATTTGACAGAGCTAAACAACGAACGATCAATGGTAATATAAAATCTTTTCTTGACAATCTCAAAACTTGCATTCGTTTGCTCCTCTTCGTTGGCTAGATGAGCCCATTTCTTGAAACCCTCACAGCCCCACGGTAAGGTCGGATGCATTGAGGCGAAAAAGTACGCCAATGGTATCGTGGCGAATACGCTGTAATATGTTAAAATAACCACATTTAAAGCCAATGACAGGTAACCTATGCCTGAAAGAACAGCAAATATTCAGTTTCTCCGAATTTAACACCATTTCGAAATATTTTACATTACCTTTGAACAAAGGTGTCAAACGAAAGAATGATATAAAGCCGCTACTTGAAAATTGCCCTAAAAATGCTTGAATCACCATTAAAGGAACAATGTACAGAGCCAAACATATGAAGTGTAACGGAAGGATATATATAACTAAAAAAGGGAAAATATTTAAAATTAATTTCAAATTCAAAACAAGTAAAAAGATTATGGTGGGACCCAGCCCACTAAGGCCATTACAGAGCTTTGCTTACTACACTTATTCGTTTATCGATTTCTTAAAATAAAGGTTTATATTGGAAATGATCGAAAAAACAGTCCGATCCGAATTATTTTCAATAACCTTTGTACTTGCGGTACCCCAAGAAAATAAGAAGGACAGAGGGACAGACAAGCTTAATAAAAGATGGTGCTATCTCAAGTCCTTCTGAATATTGTATGTACGAAGGGCAGAATAGGTAGGCTATAGAAGCAAAAAAATAATATTCGGCCCAGAGCAAATCCCGTCCGTATTCATAAAGGAAACATCATATTAAACAGAACATTCTGGAAAAAGCGATTATATTAGAGATTTTCGAAATAATTCCATGCAAATGTTTTTAATAAAGTAATACATAATTCTTATTAAAATACGTAGCAGAAGTGATTAGTGATCGATTGCTAGCCCGTCTGTCTCTTGAGACCAGGGCGAGTAAAACAATATAGGTGTTAGATTTTCTCTTGTCGCCCGTATCAGCTCCTCTTCGACTTTAGAAATGTTACCATTTTCAATGCAGACGAAACGTTATAAATGCGCATTTAACTATCCATGCACATCATCAAATGCGGGTTTCTCGTAACATTGCTCCGGGGCAATAGACTAATCTAGATGTTCGGATGCATTCAGTATTTCCCAAAAATCTGCCATATATCCAATAAAATTTTCAAAGATCACTCTTTTATAATAAACTCGAAAATAGAAAATATCTCCCCAGTGAACATATTGAACTTTATCACCCACCACATTCAAATGTCGAAAAATGATATAATTTAACCGCCAAAAGTAATGCCAAGTGTTTTGTTTTACACATGATTTATTGTCTACGGTCATCAACTTGCGTTCGGAAACGCACATCCCAAGCTTTTAGATAAAAGATAGCGAACCTATCTACTTATGTACATTTCTCAGTAAGAATTATTACATAAACGTAGTTTAGTGTAAAAAGGAGCTGTACCAAAGGTGGATCACGTACGCCTTTCTAATGTGCACCATCCCATACACGAATTCTCACGAATATAAGCATTTGTGTGACGAAAAGGTTTATTTTTGAATATTTTGTGATGAGAATCGACGCAAAAGAACAGTTTAATATAGAAATTAGTTGGACCAAACTTGGGCCATGTAGGTCTATTTTTCGAGCTCCATCCCGTACGCGAGTACGCGAGGCGAGTAAACCTTCATGCAGCAACCAAGTTTTATTTTTAGTATTTATTACGAAATTAGATGAATAGTAATAAGTTCTATAACGAGAAGATGCGTTTTGATGGATTTGGGCCACGTCAGGTCGCGTTTCGAGCTCCCTCTTTCTTAGTTTCTGTCTCTCTTTCAAGCAAGACATACTTTTACAAGAAAGAAGGTGCAATTACTGGTATTTTATCCCGAAGACAAATGAAGAAACGCATTGTTTGAATTAGGATAGAGTATTTAAATGTCGGCCTAGCCCGACCATAATCTTTTTATACGTTATTGTTTGTGAATTATTTATTCTTTTACATAAAAATCAAATGAAAACAGCTTCTTATGTATAACTTAAAAAATCGAGAAAAAAAACTGTTAACAAAAGATTGAAAAATTCTGACTTAGCTTAGCAAATGTAAAGTAATTATACAGTAACATCACGAAAAACCTACTAAAGATGACGTCAATTAACTATATTGCTAAATATTCAGGCCTATCCTTGAAAATTTATTATAAATTAGATAAGGCTGCTTATTACATAAGAGATACAGAAAAAGAGGGCGTCGAATGATAATTAGATATTCTAATGTTATCTTACACATAGCGCTTTCCTCATTGTCATGGTCGATAATAACTTGTAGATCTTTGGATGCCACAGACAGGTCCATTTTGCTTAAAAATATAACTGTGTCAACTCGAAACACGCTGCAGTGACCCGAGGTCTAGTCAACGCAAATTCTTGCTGATATGCATTTAATTTCTTTCTGTTGAGCGACTTTTAGCAACAATCGAACAGGAAAGCATAGCCTCATTTAACATTTATCACTTGCTTGTTTCTGTTATTGTAACCTACACCAGTTATGGTGTATATTATATATTAATTGTATATATATTAGCTTATGGATAGGGCCACGCTTTATTACACCGATCGACTCAGAATCACAATCTGAATTGGGCTAAACCTGTCTGCCGGTCTGTGGTTCGCTCATGTAAATTTTTGTTCAAGCTACTGATACAGTGATCTCTTTTGACCCAAAGATGAACCCTAGTAAAAATGGATAGTATCGGTCCACTTTTTCAACCACTTCCCATGTAACGTCCTATTCTAAAAACTCGTTATATGGGAAAAAATTGCAATTTTCAAAATTTGTCGGCACAAGTAGTAGTATCCGGCATTCTCAATCGCTACGAAAACTTTGGAGCGGCTGGGGCAATTTTTGCAACCCCATCTCATATAACGAAAACTACCGTTCCTGCGGCAAAAAGGTATAATTTTTAATGCTTTATGATCAAAATTATATCATAATAGTAACACAAATAACAGAAAAAAATTAACTGTATCAAATTTGTACCTTCTCTGTCTGTTTTTTTGGATCCTAGCCTAATAAGGGTTTTTACGAAAATTGATCCTCTCTAGAATAGAAAATGAAATGAACCTTACAAAATTTGGACCATCTACTCCTACTTTTGAATCCTGCCCCCATGTAAGGATTAAACTTGCACTGTGTTAGGTTGCGTTTTGGGCCAGCTTCCTTATAAACGTGCACATGAAAAATATACCTTTATATGGAAACAAAATATAATTTTTGTTTTCTATAATTTGTAAAAAAATAAAAACTTGTTACACTATGTGGTGAAGGATATTTAATCGCCGGCCTGAGTCGACTGTAATGTTCTTAGTTGTTTTTGTAGAACTATTAGATAAATACGAAGTGTATGAGAGTAACGTCAAAGCTGAAGACTTACAAGTGCAAATGAGCCGTCAAGTCGGTTTCAGTGTCCACGTTCATTAAGATTTCCTATGGCTGGTGGCGCATCTGTCCGTCTATCTATATCTTTCGACGATTTGCAAATATTTAACTTTGTGTAAGTGTCTGTAACTTTTAAGCAAGCCGAGTGACATTTTGGATAACCTCCACTGAAGGATTTGGGCGGGTTCATTTCGTCAAAACGTTTCCAACACTCAAAAGGAAGCTTCATAGACCTGACTGTGTAACAATTGTGATAAACATTCCTCTGATGGCAACAATAATAATATCGGCCTTAAATATGGTACGAAGTCCTTGCAGGCGGGATGATGTTAAAAATGGGCCAAATCGGCCAACCGATGTCTTCAGTATAACGTAAAATATGGGTATCTCTTCTAGAAAACAAACAAACAGATGTGTTGCTCTTACTCATAAACTGCAGCAATAAATATTTTTGTATTCTATTTTAATACGAATGCCATAGGTGTAAAAGGTTCGACCACAGCTGGATATAATTATTTTGGTTGTTTGCAAATCTGATGTGTAAGTTTTGATGGGTTTAAAAAAAAAATATTTAAGTGAAATTTTGCTCAAATAATTACATGCATAATATTCCTATTTTTGATCCTTTTAGCAGTACTTGAACGTCTTGTGTCAGTCCCTTTTACGAGCCGTTTTTGTGACTGGCTCCATTTTTATTATCTTTGAAAGAATGGAAATGCTACTCACGACAAGTTAGAACACATTTTAATAAGAAAAGGAAGTGTTTGAGGCACATAGTGGCTTGGATAATACATTCTAGTTCAGTGCTTCTTCTTCTAACATCTCCTTGGCGGATTCTGTAATGCGAAGCCTAATGTTACAACACGAAAAAGCAGGTTATCGTTTTTAGGTTAGCGGTTGGTTGTCGTACCATCTCAGTGGTGCTTTCGCTGACTTCAAAAAACTTTTCAATGCCTAAATCGGCTTGAAGCCATAGGTGATTGCCGATGCTAATAGTTGTCTGCCTTTGACCCATGAAATTTCATAATTTGGATTGCAGGGAATTATCCATTTTCTGCATCAATCAATACATTTGAGTAGCACTTCTCTTCTAATTGAAGAATAAAAGTAGCGATTGTCGTCTTTTTTTTGGGAAAATAACTGGGTTTAGATTTAAAACTGCGCTGGGTATATTTTGCTGAGAATATATTTCACTAAAACGTATTCAGCACGACAAATACCCTAAAAGTAAAAATATGGTAGCTTAATACAGTTATCCACAAAATGTCTTCAAAATGAAGCACTGGATGCTGTTTTTGTCTACCGATAGCGTAATGGCAAATATGTCTGGAGCGAATTTCTGGTCAATGCTGTTCTACTTTAGATTATTCCTCTCCGCACTTGTTTATTCAAATATTAGATCGAGAAAGTAATGATTTTTCGCCCATAAACCTATAATTTGCAGTAAATGAAGGCAAACTTTCTATAATATTTTGATTTGGAGGTATGAGGCATGTAAAAGTTGTTGCAATTCCTACATCGCTAACAAACTAAACATGCTTTTTGTATATGGCATACCATCTATGCAGTGTTGTCTTCCAACAGAAAACTCCAAGAGATCAATGCTTTTTAGACGACGTGCATTCTCTCGACTTTTTATTTTAGAATTTCGGAAATCATTTGCTTTTGAAGATCGTTCAACTATACTCAACATTGACGAACGGTTTTGATGAATTTGTCGTCTTGAGAGATCGAAAACTTGAAGTGGGTTTTGGTTTAACAGCAGCTTTATGTTTCATTTCTCTGTACTTTACATCGAATGTAAGTTAAAATAAGTAAAAACACTCTTTTTGAGCCACGGCCCACCACTAAATGCTGTATAACACCCTACTCCCTGTTCACATAACTCTGATTCAAAATAAGTTGTTGTATGGATAAAAAGTGATCGTAAAAGAGGTCCGATCCGAACCATATTCGGCAGCGTTTGTACTTGGGCCAAAACGTCGGTGTACCAAACTTCATGAAAATATTTCAAAAATAGCGATTTGTACGTGGAACACAAGTTAATAGGGTGGACAGACCGCCGGACAAACCGACAAGCTTAGATTCAGAAAATGACTTTGAATCGATCGGTATAAAAAAAGGTGGATTGATATCAAGCCCTCCTGGGTGTTACTGACGTCCTAAAAAATGTAATATGCCCTAGTACCCAGTCTAGGGCATAGAAAAAGGTACAATTTTTTAAAAATTGGGATTGAAATTTATTGCTAATAATAAACATGGCGGCGTGGTTTACTTTACTGCTATAACTTCAGATGCTTCTATTACACAAATCATCCTCAATTTGGTGTTAATTTTGATCGTTTGCTGGATATATGGACGCGAACGTTTGCAAAGCGACATCGAATTTATGGTAGAATAGAAGTTTCCTAAATAGAAAATTAATGTGTTAAGGTTGGTGGCACCACTAGCCCTGCTACTGATTTTGGTGAAGAAAAGAAAAGCATTTCCCAAACTTTTCAAATAAGTTTTAACTGACCTTTGTCTGCTTTAGTTACTACTTTTAAATCTAATGTTCATTTTTTATGAACATCTACCACTCTCTACCACTGGAATAAAATTATTTGCTCTCTTGTTCACCGTCTTTCCTTGGATAATCCAAGCAGAATGCACAAAACGGAATACACTTCTGCTTTCAAACGAAAAAGAGGGTTGGGACTTTTACTTTTTGTTCCTAGGCAAAAACAAATATGAGTAAACAAATTTTCAGGCATATTTTATGGATGTTTTCTTAGCAACTGTGGAGAATTTCTACACTTACAGTGCACTGATATTTAAAGTTTGTCACTTTTTTAGTGTATAACGGCTTCGGTTATAGTCGAATATGGTTTTTTTATACCCATCACTGTAAGATCTCGGTATACTAATTTTGTTTTTTTTACAATGTGTGTAGCATCCAAAAGGAACCTTGAGTACAACCTCTAAGTATATATATTCTAGATCAGCGCGAATTTCTGAATTGATTTAGCCATGTCTCTCCGTCTGTCCGTCTGTGTAGCGCCTGTTGTTGGCACTCTCCTTTTCGCAAAAATGAAGATATCGACTTCAAACTTGGAAGCTTTTGCACGGTCCGAGCAGAAGCCCGCGGTGGAGCATAAACTGAACGCACCTCTGTCTTTCTTAACAAAAATTTGTAAGCTCTTGCTCGTTACTTAAATATTATAAAAGTTAAAAGGCTGATCATTTTCACATTTACCTTACGAAACACTCTACTCTCTGCAAAAATGGGAAAATCGGCCATTCCCACACAAAGTTGCAAGTTATGGAATTTTATTTGTCTTGGCATTTCATGCTTATTCATCATAACGCAAACAAGACAGAATATTTAAAACTATTTTGCACGTTCCCCAAATGAATGTGTATTGTCTGCATAGGAATGGGTTTATTTTTAGATTGAATAGGGTGGACATCGCCATTAATTTTTTCTTAACAATACTAGCGATATGGGTACCAAATAAAAGAGCTTGGAGAGCGGAACGCCGAAAGCGTAGTGGCTTGTTTTTGTATTATATGCACTTAGTTTTGAAAATTAAACAAATTTTTTCTCACTACTGTTTACAACTGTGACAAGTCTAACCGCGCATTCCGCTTTTGTCCTTCTTTCAAATCGCCTCCGTATTATGATAATAAAATCAGTTAGTTTACGGAAGAATTTGTCACAACAAAGAAACAAAATGAATTCAAAGCAAACAAGTTAGCAACTTATGTTACGATACCTACCGTTTAAGCTTATAATTACATATTTTTATACATAATATTTATGATCGTTCGACAAGTTTCAATAAACCGCAAATCTTAAAAGTGCCTTAGGTCAATTTCTATTACCTACAACGAGTTATTTATCAAGTATCACATTTTTTTTTATAATTTATTTAATTATAAGCGCTCTTTCAGACATATGACATCTCCTTTTGACGTTGACTTCTAGATCTAAAAATATATTTATGATCATTAGATCATGCTGTAGAGAAATTTGTAACGAATATATCTTTGTTTTAATATAAAGCGAAGCAGTTTTTCTCCCAACATTCACGATGATAGCCGATAGGTTATATTGCTAATGCTTTTAATCCAAGATTTTTGTTGATTAGTCCAAAAAAAATGATTATAATAACATTGATCTGGACAATTATGGTAAAAATTTATAAACCAAATTCCATTTTTGACCTGAGTTTTTCCGACTAAGAACAGATGCATAAGAATCCATCTTTAGTGTCTATTTTTACTACTTGCGCTACAAAGGCAACAAGTAAACTAACATACACACACATCCGAATAGTATTGAATGTGCAAAGTATAACAGAATTTAATTTATATTAATTTTTTGACTGACCACAGGTATAAGAGATATTTGCTTTGCATTTTGTATATTCAGAACCGCTAAATAATTTCATTGGCAATTTACCAAAACAGCGAAAAGTAAAAAAAAAAAAAAAAGAAATAATAAAAAAACAAAAACAACGAAGTGTTCTTTAGTCTCTGTCAGTGTTTCTTGCCCCCACTAAAGAATAATGTTATGGTAGTTTTGTTATTTGATTTCTACCTTCTAAAAAGCGAATATCGGGGAATCTGCGAAATGCAAGCACACACAACATTGAACAATCCGAAAGCCTGAGTTACGGTAATGATAGATTTGTCTTCGTGGTTCTTCTTCGGTATGAAATTGAGGAAATGAGCTAGAAAGCTAAATCTTGGCACTAGTGAAGTAAGTACTTTTAAAATGCTGTAAATCAATATTCTTTAAACTTATAGTTATCAATGGTTTCTTTGAGAGATATAAAAAGCATATGTATGTATTTGCATTGCTACGAAAATCACACGTTTGATGAAGTGAGTTTGCCCAAAGATTAGTCGGTTTTCGAAGAGGCAATGAATGGAAAACCAAATACACATTGACGACGGTTTGCGAGCCCCCTGCAGCTGGCGATTGCCGAAAATTATAACAACAATTAGCAGAATATTAGGCGGAAAAAAGGATTAAGACAGAAATGTATCACCATGAAGTTAAAGGATATAATAAGAAAAAATATTTGCGCGGAAACCGAAGTCAATCGAGTCAAGCGAGTTGAAATGCAACATTTGAACGAATAGGAGCAGATTGACCATTAAAATGTGAAAAAGAAAAACAATGAATTTCCTGTAAATAATTCGTGGTTAGATCCCCTAAGATTTTAAAAATTATGTGCTCCTAAAAATTACAATTCATTGCTACGAATTTAATCTCAAAAGGAATTGAAAAACGGCATAGTCTACGTGAAAATATATTTTTGTATTGTCTACTTCGATGTGAAACGGTAGAGAAATCATACTGAGCTCAAACTACAGTTACAAATTGCTTTTGTTTTTTTTGGTTCAACCACCTGTTGTGTGATTACTCTGCTAGAGCGTAGACGCCATTGCTTCAAACATATCACTCAATATAGTCGTGGGATAATATTTAGATATCGCCGCTATTGACTAATCCATATGGTTTTTAGATAATACCAATATTCAAACGAACTGTACCGAAATATTTGTTCTAACGTTTACCAGCATTTTTGTTGAAAATGCGTACTAGCAGGCCGTACATGATATTTGTTTGATTTATCAGGCAAGGAAGTTTGATTGTTCGAGGAAACAGCTCTGCTCACCTTAGTATTGAGCTAATTAAGCTCTCCTTGGATGCTACTATTGTGGAATTGGGAAGTGAAAAAACATCGTGCGGATGTGAAAGTTTTCGTTCTTCAAACTCAAAAATCTTAATCCTTAATTCGCAGCGAACACTGTTACACTCGAACACGAGTTGTACTTTTCTGTGGGATCTTCAAGAGGTATTTACATCCTCCACAAATTTAAAAAAAGTCGTACATACCCATGAGATGAGAGGAGACTCGCTTAACATATATTCCCGTTTGAAAACAACACTCGAAACATTCGCATGGAGTTACACGATACCCTGAAAAACTAAGATAACCTCAATAAAAGCCATATAATGTAATTGTAATCAATACTGGGTGATTTGCTACGGATATTATGTATTTCAAAGAGCAGTTGCAATCTTCGGAATAAACATGATTCCTAGGTCGCTTTATATCGTTAGCATAGAAGCCTTAAGGGTCCTTAGTAGGCGATCAAAGCTCTGACTTACTTTTATCCAGATTTCTTTTTATTTTAGAAAAAAAAACGACTTTTAGAATACTTACGGCTGGATGCTTGATCAAGAAAATACCAGGATATGGAGAACATGTCAAACTTGAAGGCAATACTGAGACCGGCGTATATAAATTGCGTAGGCTGAGACCATAAGCCACGATTAACGTCGGGCAAAAACGGCCGTCGACCGCTTTCATATGACGATTCGTAAACCATTTTATCAATTTGTCAAAACACTAATTTTCATAAATTTATTACGCCTGACTAGGCTTAGATAATTTTCTATAATAATTTTCAGGATTATGCAAATTATTTGCTTTAGAAATTTTTTATATTTTTAATTTACTTTCACAGGTTTCTGGCAATTTTTAAAACTACAATTTTTCTCAATTCTCGCTTCCTATCATAAATTCAATGAACTTGACATTTTCTTCTCTTTTAAGAAATAAAACACAGGAAGACACATTCGTTGTAATTCAATTTCAATTCAGTAAATTTTCAAATGGGAAAAGAAAAAACGAAAACGAAAACGCAAACGAGAGAAAAACCACTTGTTAATCTGAGCTATATTTATGTATGTAACGGACACCTTGTTATGGCTCTACCTATACGCGTACTATATATTGAACAGATGATGAACTCGTAAAACATTCAATTCAAGTAATAATTTTTTTTTTTTGTTTTTGTTTATCTTTTTGGTTTTTAACGATTTTAAAGCTAGTAAAGTACTGCGATGTTGGTGTTATTAGTTGCTGTTGAGATGTTACGGCTTAAATAAAATTTCCATGTGATTAAATGATGTTCTAATTAGTCGAACAGCACAGCAAGACTGATCAAATAAAAACATTAACATTGCAATTTGAATCTGCAACAATGATCTCTGCTTTTGATTACAATACCAATAAGGAAACTTTCGCACACACACACACACACACACGCACATACACACACACATTGATAACGATACGCATACATACACTTCATTGCATTGCATAGTGCATTTCTTTTTTTTTCACTGTAGTTTTTGTGGATGAACCACCACTCGAATCGTAAATTTGTTCATAAGAATGTATTAAGAGGAGAGAAAGCGAATGAGAGGGAGCGAGAAATAGTAAACACCAGAAACAACACACAACAATCCAAACATTTATCTCTTGATTTCGGAACAATTGCATAGAGCATAGCATTTTGCTTTTCATTTTGAAGATCTTCTAAGTGTGCATATTAAAGAAAAAAAAAAGAAAAAAAAAAACAAGAGGAAAACATTTTTAATTTTTTAATTCATTGCAAAGTATTTATGTACAGCGTTTTTGTTTAATTGAAAAAAATTCAATTTCTAATATTGCATATGCTTCTCTATTTTGCTGGTAATTATTTGCTTAAAAAGTATAAACATTTTGTGTCTCTTTTTTTGTTTTTCGAATCGTATCAACCGCAACTGACTCTCAAGTTCATCATTATTGTGTTTAGGTTTTCGTTATAATCATAAATGTTGTCTACTGATAGCAAAATAGTATTTCTGTTTAACGCATACGTAGAGGGACATGGTTTGAGAAGTACATGATTTGAATTTTATTCATTGTATTCGCTATCATGGAAAGATGGTGCAATTAGTTAGTTAAACACTTCGCCGTTGCCGCGCGTGTAGAAGCAAGGCTTAATAAACTGCAAATGCTTACGGCTATTGCTTTCCACCTTATGAAAACGAAACCTTATGTAATTTCTTAAGTATAATGAACGCTGTCAATACACGAGTGCATGTATATGTGCGCGAGTGACTATGTATATGTGTATATAAAGATTCTTCCATTTCGTCGCGATTAACTTTTAAATGAAAGAAATCCGCCCGAATTTATTGACGTTCGTGCAATCTGTCTTTCGCTCCCCGCTTGTCTGTCCTAAGGATAGAATCATATTATTAACTGTTCAGTCCCCGATTTCAATCTTTTTATAACGTCTTCAATTGTTCGCTTAAAAAAACAAACTTTGCGACTAGGCTGCTGCGACCGATTGTTTGGATAATTACCTAATACGACTGCAGATTGAATTATCAAATGAAAATAAAACAAAGGTCAGAACTTGACCTTAAAAGAATGAAATGAAAATTATAACGACAGTACATTAACGCTAGACTAAGCTAAGTAAAATGATTGAAATTGAACTTTGAGAATAAAAGTTCGTACAATTCGTGAATGGTGTTGTGCGACATCATTAGAGATAAAGATGACGAGTTGAGATGTGAAAAAAAAAACGAAGACCTGTTGTAACATGGCCTCACCAGGGACAAATAAGAGAATGGGACAAGTTGTTCGTAGCGCTGTTTTCATATTCCCTAGATGGCAACAGGCGGATTTTTTAAATATATTTTCTAAGTGTGAGGGGATTTAAGTGAAATTAAACATTGCAAGCTTGCCGTGAGAAACTGTTTCGACCTTTGCGAATTTGACATTTCGTTCGAAAGACGTGCAAACATGCAGGCATCTAAGTATGGATTCGCGAAGAAAGTCAGAATATTTTAAATCAAGTCAAATTTTTCTATACCTGAACATAGCTTTGGTTTTTGCTCTAAATTTACATTTTTTTAAGTAGTCTTTTTCTATTATTCTACACTGCATTGTCTACTTATGTCAAGTAGATTCTCCACTATTCACTGCGTTATCTTAAGTACGTCGTTTATGCTAGTTAACTCTAACAGGTAAAGGTAAGGTAAGGTATTCAATGGTCGATGCCATTTGTTACTTTCACAATTTTTATTCACACATATTTAAAATAATCTCATTCTTTCTTTGATTTGTTTGTTTTAAATAATTATAATGATAATTTACTTTATATGTCTAAACGTATCCTGTATAGTCATAGAATAATTAATTCTTTGCGCTTATTCTGTTTTAACGATAATGCGGAATTTTCGAATGTTTATTTCATTTCTTCGGAAAAATATATTTGATAAAGTATAAATTCAAACTTATCAGCAGCGTCGAGTAAATGCTTGAAATTTCTACACATACTTATTACAAGTTGAAACACAAGGCTTCTGAATGCCATTAAAACGAATATTGGAAACTGGACAAAATTCCGTCTACTCACATGCCTGCCGCTCTATGCGCCTGTTGTAAAAGCAAAACTGACATTTGATGATGATTTGTCCATATTTTCTGCAAAATTTCGTATTATTTGACTATACGATTACGTAACAAAATTGTCCATAGCGATTAGAAGGGATTCGACTAGGAGTCTGAAGTGAGAAGCCGGTACGAAGAAAACGCTCATTGTTCATCTTAATAGTTATGCTTTTTATAGATTCCTTCAGAGACGAAGTAGTGTTAAGGGGTTCTTTACTGGTCCCTCTTTAACTACGACGCTTATGAAATGATTGAAGAAATTAATGATCGCGACTTTAGGAGGCCATATGCTCAAGGAAATTTCGCATAAAGAAGCAGCATCCGGGTGGCATAGACGTGGATTGTCCATATGTAGAGTATCAAACCAAGATTTCAATATTGTTTCTAAAATATCTATATAGACGCCAACAATCCTTCCAAACTACTTTTAAAAATAATAGGGCGACAAAAGACATCCGCCATTGCTCACAACCCCTAAAGCTTTGAGAGTAACAAGACTCTTTTTATGAACCTCTTTAGGATGTAAATGTAAGACTCTATCATGTTTTCGTTTTATTCCTCAAAAAAAATGGAAAATGTTAGTAATCCCAAGGAACTTCAATTTGCATCCAGGAAACCCTACAGCCGTCTTTTACGTACACGGTAACACTTACAACGAGGGTTGGCAGGTCATGGCCTCGGAATTAAAATTAAAAAATTACTTTATTGTCGTTGATAGACTGAAAAGCCACTATATTAACAAATTCCTTCTAAGTTCGATATCTTTATTAGACAATGATTTACGACAAACATGTTGTCGTTCTATATAATGTAATATCAGTGAATAATTTTCTCATTATCTAAATACAATATAAAATTTTGAATGACGTTACAGTGCGACTTCGCACGACTCATCTTTATTTGTTTGCTATGAAAGCCGCTTGTAAGCTGAAACAGTCGGCATAATCCAAATTTTGTACTAGGCACTAGCTTCAAGGTAGATGTCATCACTCAATATATCGACCTTACATCATATTTTTATGCGACATAATTGCGTAGGTAATTATACGTAGAAATATTTTATTCTCAAAATAGATTGACTTTTCATGTTTAAGCTTCAACATACGGTGCAAAAAGGAGTTTCTTTTCTATCGTTCGGGGAAAGAAGAAATGATGTCGGCACAAAATCCGAAATTTTCGTTTTTAGAAAAAGTAGTTTGGGGCCGTGATAAGTGCCCGATTATTGTTACCAGATGCCAAGCTATAAAAAGACATAATTTCAGATATTTGTGTTCGTTACACGTGGTATTGGGGCCATTTATCGACAAGTAGTGGTTCCATATTTACACATCTAATAGGGTTTCGTAACGTCCGTCACACAATTCAAAACAGAGTCGAAAATTAACGCTTTTCTAACATGCTGTTCAATTTTGCGACAATCGAAATTAAAGATAAAATTTGTTGTCGAGTTTGTTGGCTTGAACGATATAACGTTAACTGGCGTAAACATAGACATTGGCTAAAATGATTTCGTTTCTAGCGACACATAGTTTTCCTTCGTGCCAAATTTTTGGTCGTATATCTTCTCTGGTATGAAAAAAAAGTGCTTATTTCAATTCACTTACGCTTTACTTATAGCTCATCTTAATCCAGGTAGGTTTATTGTATATTTTTCGAACAATAATAAAACAAATATTTTTAACTGTGCTGTAAGGTCGCGCACAGCGCGTGTAAACGACTAAATTATAAAGAGATTAACAAAAAAAGTAACTTGTAAAAAATATATCTAATAAGCTCGATTCCTCCTTCAACATGAACCATAACATGACGCATACCGCATATGACAAATCTGTAAAACAATGTTTATGTCGGCTGACGATGTTCTCGATCTACGATAACCAGCATTTCTGAAGTGCCCATAATCTCTTCATAGAAACGTCTATTATCCGCATCGACTGGATGCCAATCGTGTGGAGCAAAACATTGTTTCACGCGATCACGTAATGAACCCGTTGTCCGGCAGACCTTATACACCATGTAAATTGGGGCGATTACATATACAAGACTTTGTATGATGATCATTAGCAAAGAAGGCGGATCTTCCTTTTGCAGTAAGTATAATACTTGAAACTGCAATATACGAAATTATATAAATTTTTGTCATTTTTCAATTTTCACTTAAGCTCAATTGCGTTTACTCACAACACTTATCACCAGAAATGCTGGCGTAACGAAACGTAGAAGAAATATTTTAAAATTCGATATAGTTTTGCCCAACATGAATTGTAAATCACATTGAAAACGTTCACGGCCGTAAATCCATGTGGTAATGGTTAACAATAGAATTGATAATGTTAGATGAGTGAGTGTTACTATGTCGGGTAGCAAATGCAGATAAGCGAAACCTTGCTACAATTAAGGGGTGTTTGAAAGATTTATTTAAAAAAGAGATTTTTTTTTTTTTTAACAAAAAAAATTACGAGTTACCTTCGTACAGAAATACACCGATGTTAATAATAAAGTTGTTATCATAAGGATGGTAATCAACGGTTTCCTACTTCTGGCCGATTCATATTCGTCAAATATAGCCGTTAGAACAGTCATCATTTGTATAATCTAAAATTATATAAAATAAAAACACAAAGGTATTAAACTCCACTGAGACATATTTTTTACGTATTTAGTACTTTATTGTTCTTGGAGAACTGTGAAAATTATATTCCGAGGCCAAAAAAAAAAAAAGACTTAGTGTGCGAGTTAGGTCTGGTTGTACGATATCAGATTAATTTGTTGCTTTCGCTCAACAAAAGCCAAAACAAATTTCGGTTTTTCTGGGTCATACAGAAATATACAAAAATCCTTACGCCTACGTTTTTGTACGTAGGTGCATCTACAAAATGCAATTCTTAGATGCTGACCCAGCAATCTATTACGATGCTCAATTAGTAAAGTAAACAAACGTAAAGTAGCCAACATTTCTTCCTGCGTTTCCTATCAGAGAGAATATACCACAAAATATGTATCTTTTATTCGCTCAAAAATTGAATTTTACTCGACGAACCCAAAGAACAAATGTCGCGTAACATGCGCTTGCATAGTATTCACAGCTTAAAGTAAGAATAAGTATGGAAGCGAGATTAGTCCGAAGTTGGCACATCTAAACTACAGTAATGTGTAAACTTTTTTTTTTGTAGCTTGGACATCTGACAACAACAAACAGTAGTAATGTCAACGTACACATGGTGTTTCTAGCAACAAAAATGACGAGATTTGTGACCAATACAGAGTGTTCGTGGATCCATTTTGGAAGGCCCAGGCGTAAAAATTCACACATCGACAGCGTAGTGGGATTAGACTGTTAAAGTCTGGTGAAACGGTGAACACCAAATGCTCTCAACAATCACTAATCGTCATATAAAAAACGACGAGCGAAATGTTGAGGTTAACTTCGGAAGGGTAGCCGCCCATCCACTAACACATCAAAATCGTTATGCGGTATGTCGAAAACATTCAGCTGAGAATTGCTAGCCCATATGGCTTATCAAACTCGATTTTTTTTGATTACCACATCAATCGAGTACGATCGAGTACTCGAGTACGTACACTCTGAGTAGCGCCTCCTTTCTTACAAAAGTGAAAACAGCTTGATAACGCCTGGTTTACCTCAAAAGGGCAGCAGTTTCGTCGGCCTGGCATATAGTTAGCGGCGAGCAATATTTCGAATAAACTGTATATAGAGTAATAGTAATATATGAAGTTGTATTTTCGATACGAAATTTCATAAGTAGACACCTGTGGTATATAGTAATATATAATGTACGATGCATATTTAACATACTTAATGTACATTCTGTGATTTTTATCTTACCACAGCACTCAACTCAGCCATGAACAACATGCTGAAAAATAGAAAACTCCAGAAATTTGGTAGGCTAGTGAAACTGCCGAATAAGTAGGCAAAACATAAATACAAAAATTGCATATTATGCTCTTCTTCGACATGATAATGAAATAGACCAACGTGATCTGGAATGAATCAGAAAGAGAGAGAGAGAGAGAGAGAGAGTTAAAATAATGTCTTATATTCTTTCGTTACCTTCAAAATTATCCAAAGCTATACGTCCACAAATTAAGGCCATGAACGTCATAAGCATATGAGTACCAGATATCCAATAGATGAGCTTCTCGCTGTTACGCCTAAAACTGTTATGACTAGCCAAAGTAAGAATAGTACCCCAACCTGGGCCCAATACCCAGGTAGGCATTAAAATGGCCGCTCTTACTCCAGCCATAATTGTCGCTTTGCTATTATTCACCGTGGGCTCCATATAACTTATGAAGCTATCCCATGAAAACTCGACGTGTATAAGTAAATGTACGAAAATTGCTCCAAAAGTTGTCATCATAATCAAACCTAAGCAACGTAAAAATTTTCCTATCTGATGGAATTTATGAAAACTCTTAATACCGTCAAAAGTTTCCACATTAAATTATTCACACATACAAATGTTATCTTTTTCAATACAATGAAAATGGTCAGCAACCATACTGCAAGAACACCGCATAACATTGGCCACGATATCCATAGATCTTTTGTGCCACTATCAGCGGAACGTATGATTGCGCTGTGTTTATAAGGTACAAATATTTCGTTAAACGAATATCTGAAAAGCATTTTACTTTGTAAGCTTACCGAAAAAACTCTACCGTTGCATGAGGATACTGTTCTTCATCCTGTAATATGTCAAATATATTTATCATCCATGTGCATGATATTAGATTTTTATATGAAAGATACCTCCTCATCATAATAACTGTGCGTGGAACAATTAATCGAATTCCAAGCATTATCACAGCTCATCCATGGTATCACAGTATGCAAAGAATTTGCAGCATAAATTAGAGGAATCGATGCCAGAACAGCGTAGTATGATAATGTAGCTAAATTATGAAATAATATCGAATAACCGATGCCTTTAAAAATGGGAGCAACACGAAATACGGAAATAATGCCAGATGAAGAGAATTGACCCAAAAATGTTTGAATACCAAATATGGGTATAGCATATAGTAACATCCCTATTAGATAAGAGCAGATAGAGTAAACTGTAAAGAAAGACAAGCAAAAAACATGACATTCGGAATAAATCGATTCTTCGAAATATGTTTTTTAAAGATTAGAGATGAAGCATAATGAAAATTATAATACAAAGAAATATAATATATATAAATATTATTAATAAACATGAGATACCAAAACGATTTTGTCAAGTCAATTAGTATGTCTGATCATTAGATACTGGCAAGGCGAAAAAATTGAAATAGAAACCTCAAACTATGAACATTTATTCTTGATTCACGGGAACAAAACTACCCACATAAAAAACTAAAGCAGTGGCTAGTAAGAAAAGAAAAAAATTATATTTTCCCTCACTTGCTGAAAGGAAGAAAGTTTAGCAGCCGTCGAATTGGCATAATTGCAAAAATGGCTATTGGAACTCAAAACTCCTCGACCGATCTGTTAACATACGCGCTCTCAAACTAGCAAACGTGTTTTACGTGATTTCATATTATTGCATAAAAATTAACATTGTTTATTAACAAAGTTTTATTGCGCCTACCGCTTCTAAATACCAAATTTGGTACAAAGTCACAAACACTATGACAAGCAACCACATAGCCTTCTCCTATGACTAGCTATCAGTTACAACGTCAGAATACAAAATTTGATTGTAAATATTCAAAGGTCTTCTCATACAACTGGAATTCATCAACAAATTCTACAAAATTAAATGCCTTTTTGAAGATCGAAAATTAAAAATAAACAAAACGCCGTACTCGGTAGCTCTAAATTTAAATAATTTTTAGCATATATATAAATATATAAGATGCTGATATAATTTTTATGTGCCATATTTGATTGCTATGCCGTAAAAGTTGTAAATTTTAGGATCATAACATGGCGGGCTTATGAATCGATGTATCTAATTTTTGAACTTGAGAATTTATCATGATATGGTGGAATGTGTGGAAGGAAAATGTACAGCAGACTAGTGGATTCAATGCGTTTTAGTAGGAACTTGTAAGATATGGGTGGCGAGCACAAATTGAGGGACAAAGAAAGTAGGCCGGGTGTCGTAACTCTCAAACCACTACAAGAGCCTAAAAATAAAACGTTTAACGTTGTTGACAAACTAATATGCGAGGTAGATATTAAATGTAGGCTTAAGTCGTAAAAAAACTTAGTAACCATTATCGCGAGGCATATTTAATTAATTTAATTAAATAATCTATGGCACTGTAGCTGGTGTATCTTCTACTCCAAAAAAAAGGTAAGAAAATTATATTCGACGGGGGCCAAATCACGCATACCCATCAAGTAAAAGCTTGGTCCACTTACGTTTTGAAATCGATTTTTTCTAAACGCCGTAAGACTTTATGTATTAGACTTCCACCATAATTAAATTATAACTAACACATTATCGTTTTCTACTCTCCAACTCGTTTCAATTGAAGAAAACACTTATCTACTAAGTCGTAACGTCTATCACTATTAATTTATAATTACCATACTTAGCTTCTCGCTTTCTACTTTTCAAGTCCCTTTCTGTGATACCAATATAACGGTCGGTAATGAGCAAATATCCACAAGTTTTTGTTAAGAAAGAGGAGGAGTCCAGTTTATGATCCACTGCGGACTTCTGCTCAATTTGATCTATTTTCAACGCCAATCTGCGCCCCAAAGCTTCCAAACTTGAAGTCGATATCTTCATTCTTGTAACTAGGAGAGTGCTAACAACACATACCACACGGACGCACATACATGGCTTAATCCATTCAGAATTTTACGCCGATCTAAAAAATATATGCTTTATAGGGTCTTCGAAACTTTCTCTTGGGTGTTACATACATTATGAAAAAAAATAAAATGAGAATACGCCCATCCTGCAATGGTGGATATAAAAAGGCATTTAATTTGACTATGGATTTTGATGTTTGTGTGATTTCCATTTTTAGAACAAAAAAAGGCCGGCCATTAAAAATCTTACACAATTCCGCCTACCATTCATCGTTGAAGGCAGGCGTCATAGTCGTACGACATGTACGTCGTCGTAGGCATCACAATATCTCAGTGCACCAAATCGCATCGAAATATCTTTAAATAGTGATCTATTGGCTAAACATCTGTACATGTTAAAAGGATCGAAAGACTTAAATTGATGCAGATGCTGAATTAGTTGATATAATAAAAGACAGATACATCTGGGAAAGACTCTGGGTGTTGCATACATATCTTTAACATACCTTGCTGTATACTAAACTTACACTTTCCATGTCGTACATAATTTGAGATAAGAGTAAAGAATGGAACCATATCCTCTCACTTAAACGTAAGCCTTTATATGGTAAAAAGATTTAATATTAAATAAATTGGGATGAAAATTTTCATTGGATAGTGATTTGACATGCATACTTATTCGAACAACTTTGAACTATATGCATACATACATATAGTTTTTGGGCAATGCCTCATAGAAAGATTTTCGTGCAAAATAAGACTTTGTATGGCAACAAGGTACATTTTTTGATATTTTCTACTAAAAGAAAACAACTGAAGAACTATGTTGTGGAAAAGAGTGTACGATATGTAGTGATCGACTTTGCCCTCCTACATAAAGTTTTAAGTTGTTCTTCACAGACATCACATGAATACGCAGAGGACAAGCCATCAGATATTACAGTCGTTCTCGATCAAAGTGAATAAAAGATCGAATTTTCCAACTTTCTCTCAAACCACAGTTAATATTTTACGAAAGAATATCAAATGCGGTCGTACAATCATTCTCTCTTTCTTGTTATTCTTGTTATGTTCTTGAGGTAACGTTTAAAAGTGTTGTTCCAACATTCGCATGAAACGGTCGCAAATCTAAGGACCAGGTTCATAAGGTTGCATTTAACTATTACATTAATTAACTTAACTATATTACATTACATAGATGTGTGTTATGTTTTGAATATATTACATTGTAATAGCCTACATAACAATTAATGCTTGGTTTTTCTACCGAGTTTAATAAATTAAAGATTAGTACGCTTGGAATTCCGTTGATGAAGAATCCAGTCAATATTACGTATACTACTACTCGGGTGTTAAAAAGTTCTTTTGGCTCTTATGGTAGTGTTACTACTACATTTTCTATGGTAGTGCTACTTGTGATCTGAATATAGCGCTAACTAGAGATACGCGGCATGACGTCATTCAATACCTATAACAAAGTCCCAGACTCCTTTACAGATGCGAATTGCTGACCCATTTGCATTTTGCCAGATTAATTTCCTCAAAGAGCTGCGACCGTTCCCCAATTACCTGCGGCTTTGCACAAACAAAGTTTATTTACATTTTAAAGGCTTTAATTGTATCTATACATATAAAAATATTAACACAAATGTTGAGTAGAGTGTTTTTGTTTTATCGACTTACCTCCTCCGAACAGCAACACATAAACGGGCAATTCGGAAAAGACTATAGAACCGAAAGCATGACTAGTACAGGCAAAATAAAAATCCACCGCCAATGACCAACGGCCGCGTAATTTATCGTAACGAAATCGCTTTTGCGACGTATCATACGGCATAGCGTTGAAATCATTATTTAGATCTAATGTTGCAGACGCTGTACGGGAAGATAGTCTGCTATCCGTTATCGTTGCGATTTCGTAGGCGTGCGCGTGATTGTCTTTGCATTCTTTTGACGACAATTGTATACAATTATTTAATCGCTGTTTAGCTCCCACGTAAATAGATTTCATAATTTTATTATTATTTATAAATGCTTTTCAATTAAATGCTATGTAGAGCACGCCTCATATTGTCATCAAGGAAATTTTGTTTGTCTTGCGGTAATTCCTTTTTTCTGCAACTTATATTTGCTACGTATATCGAACGTTGTATATCCTGATTGCGTTTTACGAAAATGTAAAAAAATGTCGTTCTTTTAGTTTATAATTCCACTCATGTGTAAAGACGTTCTTTTTTTTTCTTTTTAAATGAATGCAATCTTGTAATTTTAGTGCAAGTTTCCTCAGCTTCTATTTGTCAACTATTCTCGAATCACGCATTCTTTTCACGCTAGTAATGGGAAAAAATCGTTTTATGTATATCTATAAAATTTGAAGAAAAAAAAATAAAATTACTTAAAGCCAAGACAAATTGTTTCTATATATAGCAATTGTCGCTGGCAGTTAGTGACAGGTCTATCTCAAAATTTAAATTGCTTGTAAGTATAATAAACTAAGTAAAGTAAGTGAAAAATCGCTTTGACCCATCATCTTAGACTATTAAATACTTTATAAGATTGAGACATTATCCAGATAGGAAATAAATGCTTCGATGTTGTTTTTAATATCTTAGCGAAAGCTAAGGATAAACTAATATCGGAGTCAAAGTTCATTTTTCTTTAATGAATAAAAATGCAAACGGAAATACACGCACACATATGATATTAAGATACTAAGTGCACGACTATTATCAGTAATAATTGATCGTATAATCATTCGACTGCAAGTAGACTTTAAACGCGGTTTAAAATTAGTTTCGCAAGTTTACATTACATTACATTATCGCAATTTCTTATGTTTAATAATCATTTTCTTGCTAATATTTGAAACTTTTTAACTATGAAAGCTTTTATTTCTCGCTATTTTCCGTCTATAAATTAAATGTCGCATGGGATATATTATTTATCTCTTTTTAATTTATTTCTTGCGAAAAATTGAGTAAGTGATATTGTCAATGCTCTGCTTTTCAATAAATATAAACGATTGCTCTCAGTGCGTAAACAACAAGCGAGGGGAGCCGTTGGTAGGAATAAATGCAAATAAATTTTAAGTTATACTCTTTTAACGAGATTCACATATGTACATTTGTAAGTCAGGTAACGAAAAATATTTTAGTCGGGCAGGAGGAGCTATTGAATATTTTACACTGCATTATCTAATACAATTCTTTATTTGTATTTGTATGCAAACAGCGGAAATTATAAATTGTGTTCATGTAAAAGTGAGGCCCGAATATAATTTTCTTGCCAAATATCTTATTATGTTCATCTGTTCTTCTCATTAAGACTTAGAAGAAGTAAAGTTTTACTTTGACCATTATACGACGGGGGATTCAAAAGGTAGACCTGCGTGGTCCAAATTGGCTGCAGGTAAAGATTTACTTTCCATGCAAATCCTTACATGGGATCGGGTAGAAAACAGATCTACAACATCCACACTTAATATAGTTAATCTTAATGTCAAGTGTAATGAGAGCTTACTACCCGTGAAGGAAAGACAAAACATTTGTGCTACTCGATCCAATTTGGCATACTGACATACTATTGCTCAGGGATTTTCGTGGAAAAATTTTGAAATTGGAATTTCCTTTCGTATAATAACTTTTTAAGATGAAAAGTGGTCGCAGAAATAGTTCGAATCGACCAATTTGGGTAGCTTCCGTCAAAAAAAGTTAAAAATTGCATCCTGTGGGTTGAAAATTAGAATTAGAGAAAAAGTTAGAAACGCACAGACGGTTTCCCTACAATATGATTTAAGCACATTTTGAGGTCCAAGATGATAGTTGAATTTTCTGCCAAGTCATAAAAATTTTAATTTGCAATACATATATTGTATATAGTGCGATAGGTATGGTTATACATCGATATATCAAGTAGTCAAGTCGATCTAACAAATAAACTTATCCCCGTTTTGTGCTAAAATGTCATAAACAACGTAACGGTGGGTATTAATGAAGTCGATGTCAACCGAACATGTCTTTAATCCTATTAAAAGAAAAGAACAAACCCCAATACCAAGGCACTTTTTTATTATGTTTATTTATGAATTCATATTAACACGGATTGTTTACAGCAACAAAATAAAAAAACAAAAACCAAAAATATAATAAAAATAAAAAACACAGTATAGAAGAAGTTGTTTATGGTTTAAATGGAATCTTTTTACACCCATTATATATTTAAAAAGAAATAAATAATGAACTTTTAATATTGATATTGAAAGGCGTAATTAGAAGGCGTAAACGATAGCACAGTCGAAGAAAATTGTTTGAACACCTTTTCGATGGTGTTTAAGTTACACTTATGCTTCGCTTGAAAGTGTGCGATACGACTTTAAGCATTTATAAGTTATAAGCAATTTCGCTCTTAATGACAGACCAATTCCGAGTAGGTAGCAGTGGATTTACTTTTACTTATTATAGTTCGGCGGAAATTTTAGAGGAAACTAGCTTTTTTAATCACATACTGGCATCCTTCAAGGCCACATTAGCTTTATGAAGACGTCTCTAAATACTGCGCCGGCACTTATACATACATTAATCCTCATTCGAACTAATTTGCACTTATCATGCCCTTACTTACGACTGTTAAGCATTAACGTTTAATCATTTGTAGTGTTTGATCTTTAGTGCCAACCAATAAGACATTTAAGTGCAATTACAAACGTACGCACAACTGTAAATATAAATAAAGTTCAAGTAATAAGAAACCTCACTTCAAAAATGATTCGAGCATGAAGTTCATCAGCTACTTAGCGTCAAGCTAAAATGAATGCAATACTTGAATGGTATTCTTAATAATTGCATTACATAATACGGTCATTAGTAAAAAAGTTAATTGGCTAAACTCAAAATGCTTTTAATTTTTTTTTTTTTTTAAATTTAATGTGTGGAAGCATTAGTTTTATTTTTAAATTTGCTCTGCCCATATATATCGCCGTGTTTACGGTTTACATTCCATTGTTTTTGAATGTCACGCAACTTTTTTTACCGTCTACAAGAAAATGAAAGTAAATTTATTCTATCGTTGTTTTCGTAACACTAAGAAGAACGTAACATTTACGGAAAATATCCCTGATCAAGGCGCTCTATGCACATATACGGCAATCCATTGAAAATATTTTATATTAAGATGAGAGACTAAAACTTTAAGGTCATCCTTGCATTACGTAACACAAGCAAAACCATTACGCAATGATTCGATTATTAATTTTGGTGAGGAGCAAAAAATGAGAAAGCTGAAGAATCTTTTAGAAACTAAGGCACATCAGTTAGTTGATTATCAAAATGTGTTTATTCCTTGTCCTCATCCGAAAAGACGTTAGTTGGGTAAAGTGATGGAAATCTTCGAGGACTCGGTGAACCTGATTGTGTGCCTTATCCTACTAATATGACAAGACCTTTAATAAAACTTTGACGTCAACGGTCTTTTCCACATTCAGCCATATGAACGATCCACCTGCAGCAATCTTACTCTTCATCGTTCTTATCACAAATAACAATAAAAAAATGAATTTATGTACAATCATAGTAAATAGTTTTTTACAATTAATAACAGAAGAACGATTTTCGAGCATATTTGACACACAAGTGAAGCGCAACTAAGATTCGGCGTAAAATCGTCATAGCCTTCTTAGTTGTTTTTATTTATAAATCATTGTCATTTAGTGATTATTTGAATAATTTGTTTTTCTTTATGAGAAGGATTTTTTTAGAAAATATTTTTATTAATTTTGCTTTCAACTGTTAAGTAAATAAATGGAAAATATTAAAAAACGAACACATAAATAGACATATATAACTAAATATATTCCACAATAATCGATTTAGTGCGAAATGATGTTATCATCATACAACGTTCAAGGTGCAATATTTAGTGAAACAATGAAACAAAGAATTTATTACTCACTTTTGTTTTAAACATATATTTAATTATATATATAAAAGCAAAAGATTTCATATTTTAATACATGTTGAAGCTTCTCTTTCAGATCGTGTAGTCAAGGTCACCTAATCTATGATGCGATTTTCCTTTTTATAACCACAGGTGAAGGATGGGGAGTTTATTCATTTTGTTCTAATGTTTGCAACACATCAAAGAAAGCTTCACGGACCCGATACTGCAGATATATTTTTCATCAACATGAAATTCTGGATTGATTAAGTTATGTCTGTCCGTATGTGTGTCGGCGTGGTGTATGTTGTCGGCACTCTCCTAGTCGCAAAAATTAAGATATCGATTGTAAGTTTCCAGAAACATTCGAAGTCTTTGCACGCAGGTTGGTGTTGAAAATGGTCAGAGCACAAGCCCGCAGTGAAGCGTGAACTGAACGCAACCTCTTTTCTCCAAACAAAAATTTATGGCTGTTGCTCACTTTTCACAAATTATTAAAGATAGAAGGCTGAAATTTTGCCCATTCACTTTACGAAAAACTCTATTATTTACGTGCAAAAATTGAGAAACGGTCATGCCCACAAAAGTTGCAAGTGATTAAATTATTTTCATTTTCACCTTGTTGAGGCTTTATGCTTATTAATCATAAGGTAAACAAGACAGAACGTTTAAAACTATTTTGTGCACTCCTCAAGTAAAGATATATTATCTGCCTAAAAATGCATTGATTCTAAAATAGATTGGAATTGGACGTCTGGACTTAGTGGTGGGTTAATTTTTTCTTAATAACACCAGCGACATGGGTATCAAATAAATGGACTTGGAGAGTAGAAGATGACAAGGTAACTGTGTTGATCCTAAATTATGGTGGGCGTCCTGACGTATCGGATTAATTTTGTCGTTACAATACCGTTGATACTGGTATCACATAAAAGGACTTGGAAAGTAGAATGCGCTAAACTAAATTTGTTCATTCTACACTAATTATAGTGGACGTCACGATGACTAACGATGCCTTTTAGCGAAGTAAAAGGTGAAAGATAAATCTTATTCTGTGCACTTTTCGTGGTAGTGGGTAGTCGAATACAACTTTCTTGCTTCTTTAGTTTCTAATGCTATTGAAAAACTCTTTTGTGTACAATGCGCTCATGTGCAAAGTCGGGTTGAAACCCCTTGTTTTGATTATATCTTAGACGAGCCGTTGACAGAACGACATCGACTAGATAGTCAAAATAAGCATGAGCATCAAATTAATGCAAACACTGTTATAAATATAAAGAACTTTTGGAGCGTTTTTATACTCCAACAAGAAGGCTTCACCAGTACATTAGCATTGAAAAGTTAACGATAAATTACACATCAGAAGTAGAGTAATAGGATCACAACCTGACCGAGAAATAATAATAATGACAAAGACATGATGGTCAACATAGAATCGATATTGAATTCAATGTAATCTTTAATGAATGATTTTTCCAAAAATACGCAAGTTTCGAGTATAGAATTTCGTTAGGGAATGGAGAAGACGCCCAGTTCACGTGGAATTTCACCCCGATCATTTAAGCCTCCACAAATTTATGCGCCCGATTCATGTGCTCCTGACTGAAGAGAATACCCTCTTTTGAATATGGAATTTTGTCAGGGCCTGAATAAGCAGATTAATCCCATCGAAATTTCACGCCGATCATTTATACTTTCACGAACTTGTGAAACTGATTTAACTTTGCCCTATTATTGGTTGTATTCTCTAGTCTTACAGCTCGGGCCGAATGAGTATATAAAACTAAAATTTAAAAACCGTTCTTTAGTAGATCGTGGGCTAGGTTAAGAAAAACTCCCTTGTTTGGTGACACCTAGGGCCCGCTAATATTTCCCGACGTCGAGTAAACTCGATAGTAATTTGAATATGTTACTCGGCAGAAATTTTACGACTGATAGTAAGAAAAGTGCATACTTTATCAAAAGCTGTAAGCTTTCTTCTACTTAGCAATGCATAATCCATGGCTATCGAGAACTACAAACTGGTCCCTGTGTGATTGAAGGAACAGGTCATACTGATTTTTGCACAACGAACCTACTATTCCGTTACTTATAATGCTTCGTTTCAGGTAATTCATAAATAGTAAACCGTGTGTGTGTAATAATAAAACCCGGACGAATTTAAGGGAAATGCCCCACAAAGTAACAAAGACATGTATAAGATAAATAGGAAAAAGAATCCGCCTAAATGCAAGATAATCCTATAATGAGCATAAGAAAAGAAGAAGAAGAAGAAAAAAGAACCTGGCGCCATAAAAAATGACACATAAAGCGACTTCTTTAAATTTATTCCTTTGTTCACGTTTTCTTTTGATTTCCTGTATATGTCAGCAAAGCGAATTTCCAAAGAAAATTGTACTAAAAGTTTCGATTTTTATTTTCTTAATTTGTTTTTTTTTATTTTGAAAACAATGAGAAATACTTTCAATTTCTTTCAAATAACAATCACATTATTATGGTAATCATTTGCTTTGTTTTGTTTGTTTGTTTTTTTTTTTTTTTGCTTAATTTCCTGTCTACTCATTGACATACTATTCAATTAATTGTTTCCTTTCTAGCATATTAGCTGTCATTGGCTGCTTTCGTTCGCCGATGAAAAATTAAAGAAACATAACAATCACTTATCACTATTAGTACACGCACTTTTAACTAAGAAAGCATGCATTCACGAACTTGGTGTTGGTGCTCGCTTACTTCACTATTTTGTGGCACCTTATAGGTACGCTTACATCAAATGCCCGCAAAGTTTAACTTTTGACTGAATTGATATCGTGGTTTGATGATTAACTGACTTGACAATTGTTGCTGTTTTTGGAGCGTACGCGTTTGGGTATTTATTGCTCTACGCTCATACAGGTCGTCTTTATTATAAAACAGAGATACTGAAACTTTTCCTAAGTACTCAGATCTTTTACGTGAATCTCACTCTCTACAACTCGTTTCAAATTGAATATGTTGCTCGAACTCCTCCTACTTTGAACTCTTTCACTGTTTAATTATTTTTCAACGAATATAAGTATACTCCACATATAAGCAGGGTAAGATATCATTGCTTTCTAGCTTTATGACTCAAAATTGAACGTTATCTGTTGGTTTCTTGGAAGATGCAAATTTTCATTCGTTAATAAATAAAATTTATTTTATTGATGAAAATTACGCCGTGTAAAGATAAATTTATGCCCCAGAGGGAATGAACAAAAAAAAAACAATATGACACCAACTGAATGAAATTTCAATACTCCAGAATACTGGCCTTGGGCGATTTTATCTATTTTTGTCACCCATAGAAGGCAAGTTTTGAAGTTTTTGAATCGTTTACATCGTATAGGTAAAGAAATAAAAGCGTCTACGGAAGCAGACGTGCTCTCAGCTTATGTTGTATTAGTGACAATTTATTTAAAAGCTATATTACTAAAAGTTACAGTTTATTCGTAGTAACCAGTACACTCGACATAAACAGTTGAAGCATTAATAGCCTATCGAGTATTATACTTTCAACTGATTGTTTTCATTATTTTTAAATTTTAAATTTGACTAATATATCCATTATTCCAAAATTTGCACTTACCTGGAGTCTCTTGATAATTTTACAATTTTAATCAATAAGAATGTTTTCACAAACGAAATCACTGTACGTGCGTACCGAAACACATTTACCTCAAAAAAGTTTACAGCATTGTGTATAAAAGCGATGTAAAAGAACGTGTGACTGGTTTAAAGCTGCCAGTGAAAGTTTGTGAAAGCCTGCTTTTGTAATCACGTACACTACTAACGCATAAGGTGACCAGTTGTATAGTTATCCTCGATAAGCTCTATGTTAACAGCCATATAACATGACGTTGCTTGTTGCTAAAAAGGATTCTTATTATTGACTAGTAAAGGTAGCTCCATCCCTTCATGTTTAATATTTTTGTGAACGTTGTTCGAATGCGCAACTAAAAATGACAACAGTGATGCCTTGGTTTGGCAGCATTCGACTTTAAGCTGTTTTTTATTTAAACGAGCTTTTTTTGAAAATTGTAATAAAATCTAAGAACAAAATTGGTATTTAATGCACAAGCGTATATACTATTCTCCCGAAGATCAATTAACTCGCAAACGAATATCATTATCAGCAGAGTTACGAACACCGGCCAATTTGACGGATAAATATTGTCCATCCTCACCGTCGAAAAAACAAGCTTTCTTCCGCCTGTTAAGAATAAGCGGATAAAAGATGACGCAATTTGTTCTCAAACACGGCGAAAAACTAACCCCATCTCGAAAAACACTGACAATTTTTTCATATTTTTATCTACATTTCTCGTGAAAATATGTGTTTGCTGCATTAGATCATTCAAACTAATATATGATATGTAAAGCTAGCGACTTGCTTACACTGAATTTTAATAACCAAAAGCCCGTGAAATTGCTGCATGTCGTAAATCTATTAAATAGCTTGTGATGACTTTTACTAAAGTTTTCAGATTAGCTGCGATCATCTAAACTATAAAGGAAAAATAAAATGTCGAAGAGAAAATTCGAAAGTGCTTTTTATACTCTGCACCACTTGCGATACAAGGGTACCTTAAATTTGTTTGGCCGTGTGCAACGCCTAGAAGAAGTTGAGATAGACCGATCTTTTATTATAACGATCGAATCGCAATCACTTTCCGTCCGTCCCTCTTGTTTTCAACCTACAGGTCGCAATTTTTGATATACTTTGATGAAATATTGAACGCGTTGGACGTGTTTTGGTGCAAAAACCGAACCTATTGAATACGGTTCGGAACCGATCAGCTTTTTTGACTTCTTCCCATAATAACAACTTACTTTAAAAAGTCGCTATATAGATAACTGTGGGGCCTGCCGTAGCCTAATATAGTTTCTTTACTGATTTAAACCAGGAAAATTACTTTTAAAAGCCGAAATATTCAAAATTTAACGAATAAAAATTTACTGCGCATGGTTACTCTAAAGCGCTAGCATTATATATTTTTTACTTCTCTCACAGTAAATCACTTGCAACAAAAAAAAAAGAAAAGAAAGAAAACAATCAATTTCGTTTTTCTCTGTGATAAGTCTACGTGTGTGTATGTATATATTTATATATATATATAGGTATCCTATTGATGTATTTACAAAGCAAAGTGCCTTGTATTACATCTTAAGCTTCTTTCCAGCGTATGTGCGCTTTGTACTCATTTGAAAGTATTGAAATTTTAAGCCAAAGCAAGAGAGCTCAAAATCCATAGAGAGTGTAGCATGTGTTGTAAAATCTGTACATATTTATATATATATATATATGCACTATAAATATACAATGAACTTTAATGTTGGAATAGCTTCTAATCTGATTTTTTTCCTTTGTTTTTTCTTTATACATTTTAAAAACGCAAATGACTAATTACGAAATTAGACTCAATGGAGACAAAGAAAATAAATGCATTAAACACAAATTGGAGCTTTAGTGAAAATTGTGCTTAATTGGTTGTTTCTGCTCGCCGAAAAAAAGACTAGCGTAACGTTATTAGTGATATGTAGCAATATTATTTATATTTAAAAAAGAATTAAAAACATTAGGGTGGGCCAGGGCCTTCTGTTAACTGCCCTACGCCTTCCCGACTCATATAAGAAGTTTTCAAAATAAAGCGTTATATGGGAAATAGTCGATAAGTGCTATGATCGGAAGCATTTTCGGTAGCTTTCGTCGTTGCTTCACTGCTCCAAACTTCATGAAGATATCCCAAAAATAATGGCCTGGAGGTTGTGTGCCAAGAAAAATAAAAGAGGCAGGTGGGAGGGCGGACAGAAGGACAGACAAGCTTATATACTATTAGATATTTGAAGATTTAATAAAGTCTAAGCACTCACATACCTTCACTTGAAAAACTACCGCACAAAGTGTGCTTGCCAAAACAAAAAACTCTTGCCTCGCTTTGGATTCTTCGCCGAAGATCTTGTATTCCCTGAACCAATATCTTAGGAAGGCTAAATTATAATTAGCTATGAGGACAGTGAAATATAATCATGATAAGGGTCGCGAAAATTACTCGGTAGGTTAACGATCAAAGGCATGAAAATGATCAGCTAGCAGTGCCCACCAAAACAGCAAAAATGATAAAAAGAAAAGAGGTAAACAGCTTTCTTGTTTTTCTTTTTGAAGAGAGGCAACAACAACAAGTTACATTAAATTTTATTAAATTCTCATTTTGATTTCACACCAACGAAATTTGAGTCCATCGTTTCTGCAGATTGGGTTTGTGTACATAATTTGACTCCAGCCTATAAACAATATTTACCTGCCTCGCAAACCAAATCTCAAATGTTAATTATGTTCGCACGCACTAATTAGTAAGAGCGAGCAATATAATCTTTGCAATTAAACACACTTTGGTGTTTTAAGAAAGGATTTAAAATAAGGTTACTTGCAGTCAAGCACTCAATCAAGTAACTTTGTTTCATTTAACTTATGGACACGGGAGTGTTAGTCGAAGGATTTCTTGAAAAATCATATATCAGTCATGTAAGACAGAAGTTAGAAAAAGAAAATACAAATGGAAAATATTCATAAGATGAGACTTGGTGTAGTTCACGACGTGTCCTCATCAAGAGGATAAATGTGCATTCGTAGGCAAATAAAAACCAAGAAATATGGCGCAGTGCCATGTATTTAGAATAAAATGTATAGACCATGTGAATACGACTTCGCCGAGCCAGTCTTCAGAGTTATTAATTTTGAGCTTTGCACAACTGTACAAATTAAGGCACTAAAGAGCACACAATGTAGTTAATTGGATCTTTGAATAAACGTAGCTCTGAGAAAAAAAAAAAAATGAAACCAGGAATAGAAAACGTTACCAAAAACATTTGGTGGAAATGGGACAAAAACGTGCCAGAAACTATAACATCGTGAGCTCCCAGTGTGAAGAATTTCGCCCCAAATAGAAAAATTCTCTTAGGAAATGTGCGCAGATCCGCGACCTAGAATGTTCTACTCTTCGTTCCTAGTCATCAGCAGACATTATTGCCCGTGGTTGGCATGAGTTTCAGTAGATGACTGCCGGTTTGTTCGTTAACAGATATCCAAACACGGGCTTTTTTGCCGATCGCCTCCAAAGGCCAGAATTTCTTTAGAGATGGAATCCGTAAATTAGCTGAAAAATGAGTGCCGCTGCGGATGAATCTCTCCCTCGCCTCTTTTGTGCCTCCTCTGTTCTGCGTCTATGAATTAAGGAGTAATATCTAGCACCTTGTATACACTAAAAATATGACCATTCATGTATTAAAAAAATATTTCCAGATTTTTGAAAAACAAAAGGAGACTGAATCTGCCCTTGAAAAACAATGACTTTTTCCTTTTTTGCTTTCCCGTACCACTGCAGGTAGGGGACTAAAGCAACAATTTTTTGAAAATAACTCAAAACATAATAAGCACCGCGACGTTTTTCAAAGAATTGATTTAACAGAAAATACGTCAATGTGAGTCCCCTTCTTTTCCAGATTATTCCGAAATCGGCCACAAAATCCGCATAATTTAACATGTCATAGCCTATGTTTTCATTTATTAAATACAGTTTTGTTGTTGTGTTGTGTGTTGTGATGCCATATTTCGTCAGAAACTTATTTCCGTGATTTCAGCGATTTTCAATAACAAATTATGTTCTGTGCTTTGTAAAGACCGAATACCAAACTCTAGCACAAATTTTGTAAATTAAAAATGAGGTTAAATGTTATAGTGGCCGAGTATTAAGTGCCCTAATAAACTTCGCTTAATACAATTTATCGCATAACCTCGTCGCAAAATTTAGACGTTGTTGTTATAATTTAATTTAATTAATTTTTATAAGAACCTTTTGCATTGGAGATGTTCCGAAAAGTGGATTCAAGTAGACAAGATAGACAAATTATCACCATAGAATAATAAAATTTAAATATTTTTGTTTCTCTATTATAAGAATGTTTGCGCGGGACAATGTTCAAAAAGTGGTCCTATCTTCTATCTTCTGTCGTAGCTGAATTTTTTACATTGATATTGTACGCAAACATGTTTCTACTCCGAAATGCTTTTTCGAGAAATAGTAAATCGCTCAAACTAATGACGTTTTCAAAACAACGCACCGCATAGACGGTGTTCGTAAAAACCGTCAGATCTAATCCATTTTCTACATTGAGCGTTTTTAAATGGAAAAATATCAAATTTCATTAAATTGTCTCGAACATTATGGTTTAAAGGCTTAACATGACGAATGGATGCACGCGTGGATAGACGGACAGACAAGCTTACATTGATATTGAAAATGATTCTGAGACTATTCGCGTGATTAGAGATCGATCTGTTTCGAGTCATTGAATATGAACACGCATACACTTGCACGCTTACACATTATCACAAATAGAAAAAAAGTCCAAAAGCTATGCAGTGATGCAAATATTTTTTTCTTAGTCTCACTTAACCTGAAGGCTTCCCGAATAGCCACAACAGAAAATGAAAATATGTTTAGTACTTTTCAAATAATGTGGTTTCTTAAAAATAATTCACATTCATCACATGCAACTAACTGTTCAATGCAATGCTTTAGACTATTGTGGTAAACATTCTCCTATTGATTCTTGCATTTCCACAGAGTAGATTGAAAACTTTATACATAAAGTATGTCTTTACACATAAGTAGAATACTTCTGTCTCCCTGGCCAATGCATGAGTATGTTTATTAATGTGTGCGTACGTATATGTAAGATTTTCAAGTTTACTGCTTTACATTAATGCTTTGATTTTTTTCTTTTTCAATAAAACATGTTTTAATAGCGACTTTGTATAGTTCCAAGAACTTAAATACTTGCACATTTCCTTTAATAAAAATTTATGGAATTTTATTATGAATAACATTTATATGCATAGAAATGCGCAATTGAAGTTATTGTGTCCCCGTCAGACTTCAATACAGTAGATAAATGCCTCGGTTCCACCTCATTGTTTTGAAATGATGCCAACCACGCTTTATAAAAAATACTTTATTATGATTTCTAGGAAAAAAAGGCAAAGAGAGAAAAGAAAGAGAGATGCTATGCGCTTAGGTCACGCATAAACCAAAGGTGGTATTTTAGATTTACTAAATGATTGCAACATATCCACGTAGCTAGTGAAGACTTCATAGTGTCGATAATTTCTTCCTTAAGCTGCACAACATAAAACACAGAGCAGACATGAGTTCGTTTGCAAAAATCAATTTAGGCTTAAGTTTCTCCTCTCACTGCTAATAAGTTAACAAAAAAGGGCGATTATGACTTAAATATGATATGAAGTTTTTCATTATTCAGAGTCATCTACACTTGCTAAAGGAAGCGCACGCCGATAAGATCCAATTCGTATTAACCGCTATGAGACGCCAACATCTGCTTTACCGGAGTAAAGTTAATTATTTATTAACTTTATTTCGCAACCTAGGTACAAGTATGAAAACATCCCTTATTTAGCTAATCCCTTATTTATCTAAGTAACGGACTTAAAAAACATTCGGTCTTCAGCTTCCTGTTAAAGTTAACAAATTAAAATCAGTTGGGCTTTTATAGTCGAACGAAGTGAAAGCTTATATATACTGTATTGTCCATAATTTCTTCCAACACCAGTCTTCGTTTATTTTTCTTAAAAATTAGATCTTGTCGAGGAACGCAGAGTAAATTGATGTGATCGAACTGTCGTCTAGTAAGCATATACTTTAGTTTACTACTCTGGACCAAGTCTTATCTTTACAAACTTTTTTTGTAATACGAAGGCTTGCTTTTTGTACGAATGCTTTTGTAGACAGAGATAAAAAGGAACACTCTCACCAAAACTAAATTTTCCAACTTCTTTTAGGATCCCGGAAGAATATTTTGCAAAGGCTTTTATTGAGCAATGTTAAAAATAGCAAGTATTTTTCTGGAATTATATCGTCTTTTAAGCAATGCCAGACGAAGCATATAAGTAATTGTCCTAACAAAAAGCAGATTTTCTTGGAAAAATGCTTTTATTTGTTAATATGATCTCCGTTTACTTTGATGGATAGTTTTGTTACCATACGTATGGGAAAAGAATAGTTGAACTCTTGAAAACAATCATCAATCGCAGACATCACTTTTGCCTTGAAAAGGCAAATTTATCTGAGGGGAAAAAATCTAGAGAATTTAGAGGCGTGCCGAAACATCTCGATTTTTAACTTTTCGTTTCGTTAGAGTTTTCGTCAATAGGGATAACGGGTGTACAAAATGGTGCATTATCATGATGTACGTTTCGGCAGTCCGATGGCACCCACCCTACCGAGGTTATGTTGTCATTGTAAGTAAAGGGACAAGCAAGCACACTCTTCAGGAATCGAGTTTAACTCGATTTTGACATTGGTTGGGTTGAGACCTTTCTATTGAAAACATGTAGGGCGCAAAGCTTTTTCCGACACTTATAAATTCGCTGGTAGCTTTCACTATTGACCCAGTCTCTTCACCCTTCACAATCAAACTAATGCTCCCGACTATTGCAACTTTGTTCAAACAACAAGCTCCAACTACACATCACGCAGGGTGGTTTTAAGTACGTTCCTGCCACAATGCTCACACCATAAAATGTCGCGTAATGGATGATATAAGAAAATGCATAGAAGCAGAGGTATTCCGCTTGTTAAGCTAATTTCATGCATTGAAATGAAAGCGCATTGACACAAATTGAAATTGTTACTTCAAAAGAACAACATGTTTTTTTTAGACATTGTACTTACAGCCCTATTCTAAGTGACATCACAGAGACGTCTGCAGTCATTCAGGGCATCCCCGTATGTTCAGAGAACATGCACAATGCCAGATTTTCTGCCTTCTTCGTTAAATACAAGACTTTATTTAAAAGATTTCACTTCAGATTCGCTGCGCTAGAAGAAGCTACACCTGAGGGATCAAAAACCAGTGGAGTGACCATTTTAACACAATACACCGATGTTCCATTTAAGCCACTGTTCTTTTGGAAACGAATAGATACGTCGGCTAGAAAATTCATGCGTCCATGCAAAGAGAGTTGCAAGTATTAGACCATCTGGCTTCTTTACCGCGTTGTAGACACATGTCATCTGTTGAAAAAAGACATAGTATAAGTACATGTATGCAATCAGATGCTACTAAGACTTTTCTTTTTAAATCATCGATGCTCACAAAAACAGCAATTAATTTTTCTTTTATTAGCAGCACACTAACTGGTGTCTGCGCTAAACTCCTTGCCCTTACCTTTAGTAGTTAAATGAAAAAGTTTTTTACTTTCATCTAAAATTCATTCATATTTGCATTGGGCTTGATTTCCGCAATCGAATACAAATGACAACATTGGAGAGGCTCCCTGAGTTTCAAGAAGAGTAAGAAGCCAAACGGAGTTAAGCTACATGAAAAGGGTAAATGTAAAATGATATGAAGTGGATATGTGATGAAAAACACCCGGAAATTCAAAACAGTGTTAAAAAGTGCATCAAGGTAATGTAAATTCAGGCGTATACTATAATGGTATCACAAGGTATCACAAACAATCAAGTAATATTCCTTGTAGCACTTTGGCCCGGCGAAGGGAGTTCACACCGCTCTGGACCGTCGTTATTGAAGAATGTTTAGTTTTACAACAACAATTTGGAGAAAAAAATATGCAAACCACAACATTTGACTTTTTACTCAAGTGTATGCTTTATTCAAAAATGCAAAAAGTATGACTAAGGAAGGCAGTGATTTTAGGAAACCCCGTAGAGCATAGAAAAAGTATTGGAAGACGAATAAATAATTTAAGTTAGGAGAATATACACAGATGTGTGTGATTTGTTGTGAGTGCAAACAAAGGAAAAAAAGAAAAAAGACAAAAAGAAAAAAGAAAATAAATAACTACAAGTTCTTTAGGATTCCATGTCAAAGTACATTTTTCTTTTCATTAGACAAACGATTTAAATTAATTTGGTATTATTGGCAGTTAAATTTGAAACGTTTCCGAAACATTGGCAAAATTTATTTTGATAGAAATTCACGTAACGGAATTAATATTTTCGACGGCAGCGTTTAATGGGTACCGGGAGGAGCGAGCAAGTTAACGTTGGCAACTGAGTTGACATGACCAGCCAGAGGAGCAGTATGCACAGCACCACGAGTTTTGGCTACATAGGTGGCGTCATGAGCGTGTACAACCGGAGGAGCAACTACAACAGGAGCAGATGGACCCACAACAGTGACGACGCCAGCATGCGCCAAAGGCCAAGGAGCAGCCACTACAGCCGGTGAAGACACGGCAGTGAAGGACAAACCATGTCCGGCAACTTCAGTATGGAAGCCAGGGAAGGGCAAGAAAGATGATTGGACACCCAAAGCAAGGGCCAAAACGAATAAAGCAGCAACGAAGGACTATATGAAAATAAAATAAAAAAATCCACTTTCAACTTTCGTATGAATGAAAAAAAAAAAAAAACGCGTTTTCTTTAACTTACTTTCATTTTGTAGTGGTTAAAAGAAACTGACTGGAGATCACAGATTAGTTAACTGTTTAAGCTCGATTTCAATTCTGACTTCTTAACGGCTATGAACGATAAATTTATAGTAAAATTGTTATAACATCGTTTCAAGAGACTGAGTTATATGATATAATAAATTAATCTCATTATAAGGAAATCTGGTCAAAGTCACCAGATATGTAATGAAAGTGCAAGTTTCTGTATGCGAAGAAATACAGATAAAAAACCTGCTTAGCATGGAGAGACTAATATACAAACAAATAGAATTAATAATAGAATTCTTGTAAATAAATATTACAACAACAATATGTAAAAAATATTAATTTATTTATTTAGATCAGAAACGACCCCCACGTAATCACCAGTTTTTCTTAAACCAACCAAGGAGAATGAATAGAATCACATTGTTTGAATAAATCCATGTATGTATATAAGAGCGGTCCTTAACTGTTTTCACATTTTAGAAAATAAACTCCGTTTTTGTTTTTCTTGCAATTTCCACAAATATATCCAATTTTCATCAAAAAAGTGGACTTAAAGGTAGTGAATATACTTTTATGAAATATACTTTTTCTTGAAATATGAATAATATTTTTACACTCCTAGAAGACAATGGCAGAGGAATTAGATTTAATAAAAATACTAAGTAAAGGCTCCAATTTTAGCTGTATATGCATATAACACATGATTAAATACGTTCGTGCGATGATATATAGTTGTCGCCACTACTGACGAGTTCATATAATTGACATATTTATCCATGCGTTGTTGAATCCAATTTCTTCCTTGAAATTCTCAAATTCTTTGCCTCTCAAATAACTCGACGTACAATGGCTGTCATTGTTAAGTGTCACGATAATTAAGACTTAAGATAAAAGATATAAAAATGATATAATCATGCAATCCCGACATTTTTTTTTTGATGATAGACGCAGGGTTTTCTGGGAATTATTGGCACAATAAATTTTCTGGATGCGCGGTTTTCTTAGCGGCTTCCCCGCTTCTTTTCGTTTCGTTTCGCTTTTCGACTTTTCAAAGCTTATCATTTCACAAGAGAAGAAGGCTTGCAAGTCGTATACGCATTTTTTTAAAACTCAAATTAGTTACGGTGGTGGTAGGTCCTCTAGTATCAATATATGATGTCATAAATCCATGCTATAGTCGACCACCGAAATGCTTTAAGGATTTCATAATATTCCCAAATACGTAAAAAAGCAAAATATGCGTGCAATGCATGGGGGGCGAGAATCTTGGAGCCACTGCTTGATTTTCTAAGAAAATGTGGATTTACTTGCAACTTGATAGGAATTTGCTTTTGTGTCAAATTGAAGAACTGAAAGACTCTTATAAGTGCTTGAAATAAGGCTTATCTACTTACCAACTAGCCCTGAGAGAAATTAAGTTTTTGAGAAATAAATACAATGAAAAAAATAATCAGGAAAGATCGCTCGCCTATCCCACAAAGAAATCGAGTTTTTGAAACTGAACTACATTTAAAATTAAAAGCATCAATACATTCTTTCCTTAACATGTTTGAAATCGCCTCACTTTATGAAATCGACATTTAAAACTTTGAAATAAGTTGAGCAAAACTGTGGACAGAGTGACATCTTATAGGCAAGAACAGCTCCAATCTATTTATTACAAATACACATAAATGCTCGGGTGCTTGCATAAGACATAGGTAATCTTGAACTTCTGCTCTAGACCTGATCACAATTACGTCTCATTTATCTCAGCAATAGCTTCATACAACTATATATATATTTACTAAATATTACATGCAGTGCAGTGGCAACTTAAGTGCTTTGGTGTTTTAGTGCTTCAGAATCCTTATAATTTAAAGATTTGTATATAAATCATAAACGTTTTTTGTTTTGTTTTTATCTAGTTGATGATTGACAACTTTTATGTGAGTTTTAATGTGTGATCTTTTTTACCCTAATTTTCGTTAAGCAATTAACAGTAATTAGTACTATAGTTATATGTTAAATACGGCCACACCCAAATTCTGTTCAGTTATTAGTTCCGTTTATGATTTTCTTAAGTACATGTTGTTAATATTTGTAATGCTATTTAGAATTTAGTATAGTTGGTTGGCAAGAAAGTTTTATGTGCAGAAATACTTTTATACCAAAAAAGAAAAACAATCTTAATCATTGTGCATTTAACAATTGGTCCCTAAAGGCTTTTTGCCTTCTATGACGATTTAATGATTTCATATGTAATTGGACATCAGATCAACAAAAGCGACACTAAATTATTATGCTCACTAGAAGTTTTTTCGAGCAGACATTTCTCCAAACTTGCATAGACATAATCGACACCGTGGCTGTAAGAGAAGTGAGACATTGTTTGGCGTTCTTTTCCTTTCGATCCTCTCACTCGGTCATAATTCACCTCGCACAACTGTCAGTATAATGCAGCACGGAGTGGACTTGCATGCTCCCTTGGTTCTTTTTTTTTTTTTTTTTGAATATGGAGTGTAAATGGACTAAGTCAAGGAGATGTATCGCTTATATGTTCAGATTGATTATAGTTAATATAGCGTCATGTTACATGCGATTAGGTAGTAATGTACGATTTAGAATTTTAGGTCAAGCAACTGGCAGAGATCCGTAGGCTTAGACGGATTACATCGACGAGCGCAATGCCCGAAACCTAAATCTCTTTCATCTTATTACATTTATTAGATTCTTGTCTTGGCTTAGTATTTGTCCTTATGATAAGCCTCTGTTGCTAAATTGTTGCATTTCATTGCAATTGCTGACCCTCTCTGGATTGATAACTTCATTTGTATTCTGCATTCCCTAGTTTGCATCGTAATCCGAATGGTTCGTACATCGCTTTGCTAATTATGCAAATCGATTGCTTATTTTTGTCTTATGGTCCTTTATTGGCTATTGCAGCTCCTTCTCTCGTCTGTTGCATTCCGTATTGGTTGTAAAAGGTGTGAGCCCGTTTCTGTAATTTTGATTAATGTGGAACTCGTGCTGGCTTTACTTGGTCTATTGTTAGTTGTACTAATTCTTGAAAGCCATGTTGCTTATATATACTTCTTTGCCTAGCTTGTGTGGACTGTACATATATTCGCATGATACGAAAGTATCTGAACTTATTTATATAACGCGACTTGTTCGTGTAACAAACGTTTGCTTCTTTCTTTCTTCCTTGTTTTGCATTCCTTGAGTGTTGCTCGCCGCCTTAAAGCTTCTTTGTCCTATTCGTATCCATAACTGGGCTTGCCCGAACCTGAAGTACTCTCCGTTTCTTTTTCACTCCTTGCATGCGCTTTCTCTCTCTCATTCTCTCTCCTTCTTTATGGCTTGTTGCTCTAGCCATATGGCAGTCTTCAATTCGTCCGGAAGCTTCCTACGATGTTTTCAGAGATTTTCAAGTTTTGTGTGAGACACATTTAATTTCTCTATCACTTAGCCACATGGGGAACTTAATTATGAAAGTAAAACGTCGGTCGCCTCCAAAGGAGTAATCTTTGCGTGTCGTACGCGCTCCGTTCTGCTGGGAATTTCCTTCACCTGCTATCCGTTAGTAAACGTCAGCTTGTTTGCTTTCCTAACGAAAAAAAAGAATAAAAAGCGGCAAATATAGGTCACCTTGCGCGCCGTCCTAAAGATAACCTTCAATTTTCTACAATTTTAATTTAACTGAAATCGAATGAGAAAATGCAAAAATTCGCACAGCTCATTACCTACTCAAGGAGACCGAAAGCACTTTCCTGCCAATATAATAAATATATCAGAATAATTATTTATGGACAAAGTTAAGCATACGTTTAACGGGAGCAATTTGTAATTAATTTATGCAAATAGTTTACAAAAAGTATTTCACAGTTGTTTTTCTTCCCCTCTTGTCCCTGCGCGCTTCTGTACTTATGTGATTAAGAAAAAGCATTTGTTCTTAACTGCAAAATATAAAAGTGGGGCGTTTATTACTTTCGTTTTTACTCGAACTTGGATGCATTATAATTTTTCTAACGTATAAAAATGTGTGATTAATGGCTATAGTTATATATATAGAATTGTTGCACTATATAAAGAAGGTTTCTGCCAATTATAATTTTGCCATTCGCTTTTCGATATGCAGAAGCAAGCGTGAACTGTTTGAAAATGTACGTATAGTGTGCATGGAATTCTCATAGTTTTAATTTTCAAAGAAAATGTCGAATATTCATTGGAAAAAAAATCGAAAAAGAAAACTCGGCAAAAATACCGTTAATTTTCCGAATTAAATTTTAAAATCGGTACAGTGCGTCCGAAACCGTAGAGCTTCCCTATCAAAGTTGTATAGATATTTTGCGCTAAATGCTCAAAAGATTAGAATGCATATATGCAGTAAATGCCATATTTGTTTATAGAGTAACTTTATTCTTTATATTTGATCAATAAATTTTTTAAGAGAAGGTATTATTTATACCGCGTTTGGACGTTTTATCACAAAGTTCGAAGCGGACGGCAATACTGAACCTATTATATACATTTTGTAGCGTCTCCTCTCGTCTTGTCAAATTTTTTGCTATAAGATATAATAATATGTCTCTGAAAATCGGCCTGAATTTAAGTGTAACCTTAAGTTTCGATCTTGTCGAAATATGGCTTTTAACATTTCAATGTTCAAGTTTCGGCATAAGTAGTAGTTGGAGCTTTCCAAACCGTCCGAAAGGCGTATATGTTTAAGCAGCGTCCACTTTCGTTAAGATGTGAATTGTAATTGATATTGAGGAGATATACATATAGTATTCTTTGTAGATGCAATTACCTTGTTTATGATATGCATGCTCTCGATTTGTGATCGGCGCGGCGGCTTCTTTATTGCAGAAGACGATGCACAGAAGCCGCCTTAAGGTCTGAATTGCAGGTGACTGTTGTTCCTTAGCTCGTCGATAATTAGCGTACTGTCCAAACACAAATCATCCCATTTAGCGGCACACTCGTCCTAAACTGAATAGCCATCTTCAACTGTTTTTTTCTTGCGTTCTACCAGTCCGCATTACCAAAACTTTGCTGAGTGCAAGACGCGTAGTGGCGATAAGTTATACATACCTTTTTCAATTGAAATGTAGGGCATGCGATATTTTGGGGCTCCAAGCCACTCCGTAAGAGGTACTAGGTCTCTGGATCACGATTGTGGTTTGGAGCTATGATAGCAACGTAGAGACCATATTTAAGTGACAGAGCTGAATACTTTTCTTTTGGAACAATCTAACTTGCATTAAATTGATCGGCTTGATATGGTAGCTGTTTAATTGCAATTTCCTGCACAAAAACATAAATAAGTTAAACAGAGTTATTCGGGGAAATCATTGATTAAATTAATTCTCTTGTTGCTGAAAATGCTGCTCATGCATTTACCATTCAAGCTGAGGTGCTAGAAACGCTTTACGTTATGTCTTAGAACTTCTATAGAATCTCTATACTAAGAATAAATACTTTTTAATGGCAGATATAATATTTATTTTTTGCTTTCAAAATTTGCGAAATTTCCTAGAAAGGTGGATGTGGAATATGATAAATTCTAATCTGTCAATTTAAGTGTTGGAGAGTTGGCGTGAGAAATACAATGTCGAGATACTTTTGAGGTAGGAGTGCAAAGTGCTAAGTCTGCTATGCTTGTGCACTACAAGGCAATATATTTTAAAAAGTCGTACTAAACTAGTGAGCAATTATTTATCATTTTAATGGTTAAACGTCGTACTATGTCAATAAAATTAATTATATGTAAAGACATGCATGTAATGAAAAACTTGCCAACTATTACTATTATCGTTATTGCTACTTAATTAGATAGAGGAATAAATTCTAACATTAAAGTCTTAAAGCCCTGAGATTTGACCTTACGACCATGGGTTGTTAGTTAGGAGTTTCTTTGTCTACTCGACCACTCGGCCTAACTATTAATTTTACTACTTTTCTCCGATCGACTACAATTCATAAAATGCTATCAGATTTTTCACTCAGCACAATGAATCATCTATAACTGACTTCCGAATTTTATGTAGAAGAAGAAGAGCTTTTTTTATCAGATCGCCATCTAAACAACAAGATAAGCCTGTTTTGGTATCCATTTAATTCTGGTAAAGACTTTTAATGAACTTTGGTTTAATTAATTACGATTTTCATGTGGATATGTGCAATTAAAAATCATTTTCTGCGATAAATTATTTAATATTAATTATTTAACATTAATGATTGGCACCTGCAGTAAATCTCGTTACCATTACGAGAACGTATTCATTCCATCATTACCTTTTCACTTGCACACATTTGCTAACATATTTATGAGTTGTTTTATTAACTCTCCCTCTCGTAGGGCGATAATGATAAAATGGATATTATAAACACTCGCACTAACACTGGGCTAGAACTAACTGTAACACCTGTAATGTCAGCTATGATATTTGTTTACATATGTTGTAATCGGTAATAATAAATCTCACTGACATATTAATTAGAACCAAACCACACCTCGTGTTTTTTACAGTTTTGCAGACTATAATTAGCTGCTAATTGAGTTTGATCGATAGAATTATTGCTTCGCATCAGAAGAACTCTTACACTTCTTGCCTTTACCATATTTGAAGCTAAGCCACTCTCATGAGACCACGTAATAAGTAGCGATCATCGTCTTGAGATTGTAAATTGACATAAACAAGTCTGTCTACACATCTATCTGATTGCTTCGATCCTTTTAAATGCAGAAAATAAAACAGAAATTGTGCAAACTGCTGTAAAGAAAGATTGTTAAATCCTCATAAAAGTGCTTACAAAATAATGAAAATTCAAATGAAATATTTTGATAAGATAATCTTTGTCTTAAGAATATTGAGATTGTCAAATCACTTGAGGAACTTTACAAGGCGATATGCAACTAATAATATTATGACTTATCTTCCAGAGAATATCACTCCGCACGATATGAGAGCTGCTCTATTCATACAAAACTTTTCTCTAACTCTCAAATATGTTTCGGTAATGAATTTCGGGTACGAGAAGCGTTCTCTTTTTGATTAGTTGACAGAAAGTCGTCGATTACCAGATAGATAGATAAAAGACATGAGTTTTGGTCTTAATAATTTATAAGATGCGATTTTGACGTAGAAGACAAGAAAGACACTTCTTGGCGGTTGATTGCAAGTACTAATCGGCAATATGTAGGATAAAATAGACGAGGCTAGATAGTGCATGCTGATATTGTGTACAACTGCATAAACTTTATATTTATCAATAAAATTTATTGAAGTTTATTAGAGAAACCGAAAATTATACAAGCAAAAGTTTGATAATATAATGCAGGCTTTTATTCCATAAGAAAATCTTGTATTATTTTATTATCCAAACTACCATATCATAAAAGAGAACGCTTCATGTAAAACCTGTTGGTGGAAAATAGTATGCTTTAAAGTAAAGTTATTAATGCATTATAAGGAAATTGAATGTTGTCATTATCGAAAATATCGAAGAACTAGTGAGTGCCTGGGGCGGGAGCTACATTCACCGAAGTGGCTGAGTTAACATGGCCAGCCAAAGGTGCAGTATGAACAGCACCGCGTGTTTTAGCCACGTAAACGCCATGACCATAACCAGGGCCTTGACTTAAACCAATGCCGGGATAACCACCCCAAGCGCCATGACCAGCATATCCCCAAGGGGCACCCGCACTAAAATCGACAGCTCCATAAGCACCGTGCCAAGCACCGCCGTACGGAAAAGCTGCATCATGAGTCACATATGAGACGCCGGGAGCTACTTGAGCTGTCAGAAAAGAAGAGTGTACGTTGGCGGCAAGAGCCAAAATTACAATAGCGAAAATGGACTGAAACCCAGAGAAAATAATTTGAAAATATTTTATTTTGCACGTTTAATAACACATTACTTTCATTGTTGAAGGATAATAACTTGGCTTTATGGTGCACTGGTATGAAATGTTCAATGAACGCCTTTTGATTTGATTCTGATCTTGTTAACAAAATTAGAGTAACTTATATACAAAAAATTATTGGTGTGGCACACCAATTATAACAAGAGCAAAAACAAAAAAAAAAAAAAAAAAATGCTAAGAAACCAAAATGAAAAAATATCAAACCTATAATCAAATTACCAAACCAAGCACTAATAATAACAAGAACAACAAGTTAGATATTCAATATTGTTGTACTACAAATATTTCTAATCGCGTTAATATGAACTATTAAAATATCATAACTGACGTTAATTGATGCATAACTATTTTCTATTTTCTACGTATTTCTTCTTTTACTTTCAAGAACTCGGGGTGGTACGCGCGGATTAAAATGAAAAAAAATCAAAGATTTGCTTAAAACCAAAGATTTGCTTACACTAATATGCATTTTAAGCCCACACCCTCGCCGCAATTTATTGCTATGCAAGCCAGATTTGATTCAAAATTATTGATTTTATTCAATGCATGTCAAAAATGAACCTTAATCCCACAAATTAATATTTTTATGACAGACAAGTACATATAAGTTCGCTTAAGGAGATTACATCATGCAAAAAAAATTCCATGGACTTATGCAGAATAAGTGCACCTGTTAACTTCAAATCAAATTAAATATTGCTAGAATAAATTCTTGTTACCGTTACTGGGTCTAAAGTTTTCTAAAATTGAAAACCTTAAAATTTTGAAGTCTATATACAGAAATGGCGATCACGGCCATTAACGTCACGCTCAGTGGTTCTATATTAGGAAGTAGTTTCAGATTAACAGAGAGCACCGAATTAGCGAATTTTTGCAAGTACTGCCGAGGGAGCCTACATCTTCAGTTAAGTTCCGGCTTAGCGCTAAAGTATGCAATATTTATAATACGATTGATATCGTGTGACTGAATGCCGTCTGGGCCTTATTCCTTGCATGATCAAGTAATTTATCTTCTTGTAAAATCTTTCGTTCACCTTTTATGACTCTCTCTTCTTTTCTACTCACTTTGCCACCATTTCCCATCCAACTTAGAAATATTTCATTATAAACTTTCTTTACGCTCATTTATAGCATTTGACAAAGCACTCGCAATATAGTTAATAGAGAGTTAAGTTATTTTAAAAAGCTCCCCTTTTCTTTCCCCTGAAATCTCGACGTCTCAGACGTGAGTATGCAAGCCGTTTTTGCAGGCCCAGTTTTCTGTAAATGCAAATTACAGATCAGACAATTATTTGAAGCTTTGTATAAATATTCATCACATCGGAACCTCGATAGACAAATTGATGCTAGTTCTATTTTTCAGTCGTATACGACAGCATTTACAATAGATGGCCTTCACAAAACCCACACAATATGGGAAAAGTACATTTGACTAACCTAAAACGACAAGCACCTATTTCTCTGCCCACATATGTATGCCCACAATGACCAAAAAATTATAATCTATAGTACATATCAGCCATTCGTGTTAAATTTGGACTTAATAATAGATTAAAGGAAAAGAGCGTGGCATTTTTTCACTTTCGTGAAGGGAAATTTCGCCAGAGTGAAAAGAATGCATGAAGACGCTCAAATTAATTATTTATTATTAATTATTATTAAGTATTAACTTAACTTATTTTCAAGTACTAACTGGGTTTGTGGTACATTTTTACAGCTAAGAAAAGTTTTACCTCCAATAAAAAGCGTATCGGTGTGAACATACAGCGCAAACATCGAACAAGTTAGAAAATTTTATTCGATTGCGATCAATACTTTCCTACCTATCACCGTTATCCGGTAAAAGTTTAAAAAGAGTGGAAAATATAAATTTACATATTGTATAACATTTTGTGGGCGTGGTTGTTTTTTTCTACTTTTGTAGAATAGTTTTGTTGAACATTATATCGTCTATATCTTCTAGTTTATGGGAAACCTGCAAAAGACATGGAGAACAAAGGTTTACTCACTTTTGGTTGTATAGACAGTAGGTGTTGGAAGCATGTTTTTTTTACCTCTTTGGGCGATTTTCGACCTTTTCTCCAATATCGTAGGCGATATCTTTTTTTTGCGAACCAGAAGAACATGGGGCACTGGCTAACAGATGGACAGATGATCAGACGAACAGACGGACATGCTTAGGGACATTCGAAATTTGAAACTGTGCAAGAATTTGTATACTTTATGGGACTTTGACTCTTGCTTCTACACGTTATATAGGTAATGAAAAGAAATTAAATGGTTATATACTATAATATTGAATGAGCGAGGTCAACTCTTCCAATTTTCATACAAGCACTGCAATATCTCGCATAGAATACATGTTCAAGTTTTTGTAGATTTATTTGCTAAGAGTAATCAGAATAAAATCATTTTTAGACTCCTTTTACAAAACAGAGGTTCAGACGGACAGACGGGCATGTCTAAATCGATTTGAAATTTGAGTCTGTCAAAAATATATATATCTTGTGGGGCCTCTGAAGCTTCCTTCCAGGCGCTGCAGACGTTTTGACAAAATGAATGTCTTCCGAAAGGAGTCTTTAAACAGGGAAGCCACTGTACATGTTTCTAAATTTAATTTTTTTATTACGGTTTAAAAACTCGTGACTTTCCACTCATACTTGGATAGCAATATGATGGGTATTTCAAACTATAAGCACATGCTTCCTGAGACGCAATGTTTGAAGATATTATGCTGCGTAACTCCAAGAGTTTTAATTTTTTTCACTTGAATTTTTAACAATATCTTTAAAATAACAGCCTCAAAGAGAGCACAGGGGAAATGTCGATAAGTTAAATATTATTTGCGAATAAAAAAAAGTTTGTCTTTTTCAAGTTGAAAATTCATGAAAAATGAAGGTTTGAGTTTAAACTCTTGCCATCACACAACAATCAATGTGCGTAAAATCCTCGCAGTACTCCGCTAATTGCGAACACATAGAGTGTTAAATGGTTTCGCTTGATACAAATTTGGACCAAGTACATTACGCTCCGTAGAGATTCGAGATGCTAATATTTTTTGATATTTTTCAAAAGTCATTTTTATTTTTTAATAATTGATTTTATGTATGCTGAAGCGCTTCTATTATCGTTGTCATCTAAAAAAATTTTTACAAAAATCCTTTTTTTTAACCTTTTGCGGGAAAACTCGATTGACTTTTGATAGAGAAGTTAATCGACGCCGTCAGATCGAGAAATTTGCATAGTTTACTATCAAATTGAAGAAAAATAACAATTTTTTAGTTCTTTTTTTTCGATTTCTTTCGATTTGTATTGCATTTGTTTATTTACAGTTAAAGAGTGTTATAAACTAAGACTTTGTTTAGAAAGTTTATAATGATATTGTTGATGGTGTCGTTGTTGTTGTTGTTGTTGTTGCAGAAAAAAAATTTATACTCTTCTTGTGATGTTTGTTGGTGGATCTCATATCTAAACAGGACACTTGTTCTAATTGGTACCCTGGCCAAAGACTAAACTGAGATGTTTATAAAATGAGTGTGTGTGCCATAAAAAAGAAAATCTAAAGTGACAGTATTTAAAAGGACCTCTCCTTTTAAGGAAAAAAAGATAGATAATAGAAGTGAGTTGTAAGAATTGTGCAGTTTTTACGCGCTTGTTTCCGAAGCAATGATCACAGTGTAGTTGAAGCAGCAAAGCGTAGTCAACTTAATGAGTGCCAGGTGCGGGTGCTACGTTTACAGCAGTTGCAGAATTCAAATGACCAGCAAGAGGGGCGGTATGAACAGCACCACGGGTTTTGGCTACATAAACACCGTGACCATGAGCACCAGCATAGGCAGGACCTTGACTCAATGCAATACCGGGATAACCTCCCCAAGCGCCGTGAGCACCATATCCCCAGGGAGCACCAACGCTAACGTCGACAGCAGCAGGAGCGCCATGCCAAGCTCCAGCCCATGGACCAGCCCAACCGGCACCCCAGTGACCACCCCAAGCTAAAGCAGGTCCGTATGCGGATGATTGCACGCCAACAGCAAGAGCCAACAAGACAATAGCAAAAGCAAACTGAAACATATACATAAAGGATTACGTTTTCTTTTTGATTGATTTTGGCAATTAAATCGTTTAAGGTAAGCGTTCGATCTTATCCTTCTAACATCAACTGTAAAGAAAGTCCTTTCCAATAATTAAGCAAAGAAATAAGATATTAGTCTAAGTAGTGTGAAAAAACATTAAGATCCTTAACGAAATATCATTAAATGTCAATCTGACTTTAGGTAAGTCCGCGCTTTATTATACCAAGTGTTTGAGGATCAATTTTTGGATCGATTTAACTTGATTGGCGCTGGGTGTGTATGGTTTTTCTTGTATTCAATCTCCAGGTTGCATCTTTTGATACATTGATGTGTTTTAGCCCAAGCAGGAACGTTATTGGAAACAATTCGGACAGGACCACTTTTTCGATTAATTTCCTTGTAACACCTCACTTTAAAAGGTCGGTACACGGATACCCGTAGGGTAGTGTAAGGTATCTAATGCCTTGCTTTAGTGTTTTTACCTATCTTTCTTTATTTCTTTGTAAAGCTTTTTCGTACAAAAGTTGTAAATCTCCTTTGTTTTATTTAAGACCTATTTAAGGTTTTTTTATACGCCTTCGACTATCAGTTTTTCTCCTTTCAAACGGTTTTGAGTTGTATTTTTTTTTTTTTTTTTTATTAATTTATCCTTTTTTTTTAAAGCAAACTTTTAAACGTACCTTCATATTGATGATGTTAGGGTAAGCAGATGAAGGATTCGAATTTTTTATTAAATTTGAAATCGTTGGTGTTTAATGAACGCTTTTCAACTTGATTCTGATTTGGTTAACGAAATTATGGCAACTTTTATACTAAAATTATAATCACAAACTCTCAGTTTTTGATCATATTGTGCGGCGCTTAATTGGCCACACCAACAATCGGACATACAGACAGACTTTGAGTATAATAAAAGCCGAAGTTCAGTATCAACCAAACAAACAGCAAATTGTTTATGCATATTATAGATGTAATGTTATTATATATACGCCAATGTTAATTCTAAGTAAATATTACAAATAAATTTTTGTGTGTGAAAAAAAAAGAAAAAAATTATAAAACAATTTATTTATATGTAGCATTTTAGGTTTTATACTTTGCTTTCGATATGAAACAAACAACAAACTCTTAGCCAAAAGAAAAAAAAAATAAAATTAATTTAATTTGTTGTCTGCTTTACCATGCCACAGCACCACCATATCAAGTGTTGGAGTAGTGTTCGGAATTAAGTGATATCACTTGCTTGTTTCGTACGTTTGCTTTTTGTGTATAACCTTTCACCGTCAATCGCTGCTACACCTTCAATAGGAAACAAGAATTATAGTGAAATCCTAAAACTATCATACTAACCACCGCCCGCTTATATGCTTAACAGCAGTGTTTGTGATCTCTAACACAATATGTGTGTGGGCTTGTGTGTTATAAGTGGTGTAGTCGTTTGTGGTCTTGGTTGTTGGCTGCGTTTAGCATTTCTACATTGCACACAAGTATATACTCGATACAATAAACAGAAAATTCTCATTCATAATCGTTGGCTTACACGATCCCCCGAGATGCTGTTTGTGTTATATTGAATTGGACGACCGTTGTTGAAATTCTATAAATAAAAAAAAGCAAAAAAAAAAAAAAAAGGTCTTTATCGTTGTAATTTTCATTCAATAATTCAATTACTGATTTGTTAAATTTCATTAGTTCAACTTTATTTGCACTTTAAACACTTTTTTTTTTTCTTTTTTTTTTTTTTAGTTGAATGTTCTTTCAATTAAACTAAAGACATTGTTTTTTCTTTTTTTTTCTTTCTTCAATTGACTACATGACAACCCATATGTCTGCATATGACGTTTACCACATGGCATATTTATAACATATTTATTTGCATTGCATTAGTAAACTGCATGGCGTTGAAGGAACTTCAAGGTGGTTTAGATGTTCTATGTTATTGACAAGATATACATAAAGAAAAAAAAAGCTTGTACGACCTTAAGGTCATACAAACTCCAGTAATCTAAATAAAAGCGTGTTAAACTAGTGTTAAACCTACTTATTAGACTCGTTAATGACACCTTCTTTACAAACCAATCGGTGCATGCTTTAGGGTAGTAATTAATCACTGCGTGATCGTGAAATAATGCTACATTTTTCAAAAGCTCAATAAGTTTTCTCATGCAGTTATTTTACATTGTAAATATTTCGTCACAGTGTTAAGAAATTATGAAATCTGATTTCATAGGTATACATGTTTGGGTCGTTTGATTGTTGCCACGCCGCTAAATGCCATCCTCTTCGTTCCGAAGAAAAGCGAAGTAATTTCTGGATGATGCGAATTTTCATTTATATGAAATTTTGATACGATTTTTCTTGCATTGATTTTTGCATTATAGTCACCATTAAGAGGTGATGGTTCGTAGTGTTAGTGGTAATGGATCGAGTGAACATTTAAAAGCAAAGCCACAGGAGGTTTTTTCCTCCTATTTTAAGAAAAACAATAGCACTAGACCATAGCGTTGTTGTTGTCTATATAATGCTCCGAACACTATTTGTGCCTACAATTTCCATATCGCGTAATTACTTACAAAAATCATGGCTCAAGTTCAACCTAACGCTGCTAGACGATCGTCGAAAATTACAAATTCCACTTAATGTTCGAGGGAGACACCAAAGGTTATGAATATGTCTGAAAAATTTGAGTTAGGTCTGAGAGCGCTGGGCGCACGCTGGGTGCTGCGTTTACTTCAAGTGTAACAATAACATCGAATCGCATGGCGAAGGCTACAATGTAAAACTGCTCCCAAGCACTTCTCCTGACCTAAGCCACAGCAACAATTACTTGCTGATAAAATCTTCGAAGCGACACTACAAGGAAACGCTTTTCGACGAAATGATGAGGTCATTGCGGGCATAGGGTCTTCACAAATCGCTTCACAAAAAGCCTACGGATTCTGTACTGCTTGCATTATACGTGAAAGAGATTAAGCTCATCAATGAGGTTGAATTTTGCAAAAAAAAAAAAAATATTTATATTTTGCTTATGTCCGAAGCTTTACAACCAAATTCCTTATTCAGAATTTTTATATGATTTCAAATTTTCGTTTTATAGACAAAAACACTTACGTCAATAGTACACAAAAAGGGAGAAGAGAGACAACTTGTGTAAAGTCCGAAGAAACTCGTGGAAAGAAAACTGGAAGAAGTGAGAAAAAGTTTTCCTTTACTGAAATATTGTTTGGACGAAAAAAGGAAAATCGTCAATGCTTATAATAGTAATTTATTCATTAAAAAATGTCTGCTTTTTTCCTAAAATTATTGTTAAGAAAGGTTTTGTGTTGAATAAAATAAGAGTTTCAGCACTAAAGCGTAGGTTCTGCTGCAAAGAGGCCAAGTTAGAAATGCTTGCTTTGCATCACTTCTATATTGTTTTTAACAGATTTCTTGTTAGAATTATATATAGAAAGCGATAGAAATAAACTAATGTTTGCCATTTCCTTCCTCTTTTGCATTTACCCATCGAAGGATAGAGGGCTATCAGATAGATTCTTTCGCTTACAATATTCAGAACAACATATTAGAGATCCCTTGATAAATGTATATCCATGAAACGATGCACCGTTCTGTCCATCTGCTGTATTGAAAAGAAAAAATTTACATAAAAGACTGAGAATTAGCGTACATTTGCTTAGCCGTTCGTGTAAGAAAATTGCAATTGCGGTTCGACTAAGCAAGTAGCAATCCCTAGCAAATATTAGCCTGTGAGATTAAACAAATATTTCGAAAAATACTTAAAATCTCTTAATGAAAGTCGTACAGGTTGACTTATTGACTTGACCACACGGAGGTATATTTGACATAACAGCATACACTAAAGGGTCTGGTTATCGTTAAAATTTCTTCCGTGATCTTATTTTAATCTCGTGATTGCTTCGCAACTGCAATAATACACTAACCCGATATTTTCATAGCATTTGCTCGGCTCAAAAATACTGAGCTAATTGTCTTATTACGGTCTTTTCATTTTCACGATTTTTGGTTCTTATCCGAATATTTTTTGAGATTTACTTCATATCGTTTGCTAGTGGTTTTATCTATCTATCAATCTCCTTAGAAAAGGAAAAACTGATTTGTATTTACCTCATTCCAACACTTCACGGTTCTACTACTTTCGTCTTTAACGAGTATTCTTTTGAAAACGAGTTATCAATATCGCTTTTAAGGGTACATTTGGCCTGGCGATCGGCCAATAATCATAAAAGAAGGCAGTATGTGTTCTTATTCTAGGTATTATGCTTTTGTATCAGTTTTGGTATTCCGAAGGAATAGTCGTAAGGAAGCCACACACAAATGAGTGACTTGTGACTTATGATGCCCGCGTGAATACTGTTGTTAGTTATGATATTTTTCTTCACCTTTTTACTTGTTGAGGGTCCTACGGCTTTACTTTACGATTTTGGCAGGCATCATCAATATGTATTTGCTTTCATTTCGCCTTTGAAGGAATTTCATATTCTTGAAAATCGTTTCCTTGAACATTCATTTCGAAAATACTTTTCCCTTCTTTCTGTTTACATCGGGAATAACTGGATGCATGTTTATGTTATTTACCAATCAAATATTTTCCTTTGTCCTGTTACGTCTGCTCTATTAACGCAATGAATAACGTGCGGTACTTTTCTGAAACTACTGTCCTGTCAGTATATGTAAGACACCAAAACGTTTTGGAACTACTTTTTCTATACCCGTCGCAGAGAAAAGCCTCAGAGACGCTATAAAATGTGTGTACTTTTGACTGGCCTCAAATTCCAAATCGATTAATCGATGATGGACATTCTGCTGGTTCCAAAAATGCAGCAGCGTCTAAGGACACGACCACATTGCTCTTCTCTGCTTGCAAAAATTAAAAAAAGTTGGTTTTTTGCTCCTTACTTATGCATCAGAACACATACAACGATAAAAATTTCCAATTAATTTGTATGGGTGATCGCGCAGAACTTGTACAAGCCACAAGCTCACTCAACCGAGAAAGAAAATTCAGTTTTTCTCTTCTTTTTAGTCTTTTCCAGGACAACATTGATGAGCATAAAAGATTCGGTCATAACCGAACATAATTTTCTTACTTCTTTTTTGTTTATTATGCTTTCATAAAGATTAACAGTTTGCTTAATCGTTTAAATCGCAGATAGATGAATGAATGTTCAAGATCTATAGATTTATATATTTATTTAGCGGAATCTTTCCTGACACCAAAGACATTATTTCATTATTCATTCATATACACAAAATAGTTTCTCACCTTTGTATTTATACGATATGGACATTAACAACTGTTTGAAAAGCCAAAGTTGAATTTTATATATACAAGAAAAAAAAAACAATGAAAAAAACGGAGCACCGTTACACCCTCCTTTAAGGTTATAGTTTTCGTAAATATTTATGAAGAGGGCGTATGTGATTTGCAATTGTTATACCGTATACTGTGATATTTTATGGTCAGTTTAGTCTACGCCAAAAATTATAATATTGTGGCTTTAATGAACTGAAAGATTAACAACGCCTATGTTATAATTTAACAAAGAATATATATGTTTGAGAAGCTTGAGCCGCTTACACCAAGTTGCCAAAGAAAAATGAAAACAGTTCACTTGTTCGTTGCCCTTTAAAATACTCCACTAATTTAAGATTGATCTCACAAATTGAGAAAAAAATTAATTCTCCACCAAATTTTATTCATTTAAATGCCATTTGGTTTACCGGCAACAAATATTTTCTGCGTTTTCTTGAAAAGAAAAAACAAAATCCCTAAAGCATAAAATT